TTGGACAAATCACAGCTGATTTTTATTAGTTATTATTTTGCTTCTGCTTCCAGTGAGACGTATATAGCGGATATTGAGTGTTCAAAGGATAGGTGGGAAATATTGCCCCAAATTACTGAAGTTAGATTCTTTCACTCACCCCTCCTGACAAACACAAATATGCACAAAGTAAATGAGCTTTACGAGCATTTTAATCAACACACATTAGTCTACAAGAGCAGGAAGTTTTACTTTTAGGAAGTGAACGTACAGATTTGCATTACTTACTGTAATCCTATATTACATTGGGTAATATACTGAATAGATAACTGCAAGAACATTACACAGGGCAATCTCAGGAAGTCCTGCACATCTTTTTCTTTTGTTATATGTTTTAAAATGAAAGAACAAATATTTGATGATTACATCACTCAGCAAATATGTGGGGAAAATGGAAAAGGGGGTGGGGGGGAAAAACACTTCAGGAAACTATTGAAAAATAAATTAGCTCTATACTGCCAGGGTCATAGTCCTTGACCTGGCTTCAGGAAACAAAAGTCTTTTAATAACAAACATGTTTGGTTTTGGAGATTCTGCCTGCAGTCAGGAGATTTTAAGAAAAGAACCATTGGCCAAATGCTATAACAGTAACTTAGATGAAAAAAAACACAACCAGGTAGTTGGGCTTTAAAGTACTGACGATACTCGTGAATACTTCTGTATGTCTGTACTCAAGCATTTAACAATTAGAGTTTACTTAAGGCTCAAAACGTCCAGGCTTCAAGTGGCAGCACGCAAAATTGAAATGAAGGCAATGCTTGCATTGAAAGCTTCAGATCGAATGCTGTGGACAGTTATTGTCAGCAGTGTTTCTCCCTGCAATGCTGTTTAGTTTACATTGTGCATTTTCTGTTTCACTCCAGTCTCAAGCGTTGACACATTATAGGTACAGAGAGGGAAGCATGGTTAGAGTCAGTACCTATTAAAAGTTTCAAATCAACAAGTATTTGCCAACAGGCAAGGGAGTTATGTAAATGGGTCACTCATTAAAAGTTTATACTGCAGAATCCAGGAAATACTTTATAAAAAAAGCTGTTGTGGAGAGGAAAAGCTTTCATTGAGCCTTCTGGGTGGGCATGGATATCAGCCTGAATTTAGGAGTATGTAAAAAAAAATGTACCTTCAGGATATCACTGAGCCATGTGGAAAATGTGGCCTTCATTTGGTTGGAACATTATGTAACTACATCTTCCTGAAGCATTTAACCCTTAACTCACTGCCTTCCTATTTAACACATTCCAACATTAATTACTCAAGTTTACTATGTGACACAAAAGCCTTAAAGACTTCTGGTTTCTGAGCATAGACCAGTATGTGGTGTACAACAGCTCTGGGATGCTACTCCGTGTGAAGGGCGCTATATAAATGCAAGTTGTTGTTGTTCTGAAAACTCGAGTCAAACCATTTACTGTTGGCAGGCCCAAGTGAGCAAATGCAGTATGTGCTGTCATTTTGTTCTTTATTAGGAAAAAAATACAATCACATTAGAAAGTAAAAGATAAAGATAATTCCATTATCTTATATAATATTAAATTGTCTTAATATAACATATTTGCATATTGGAGTAACATCTCATAGCAACTATTTAGTAGGGAACTAATACTTCACATATGAAACAATTTAAAATCATTATTGTATTTTAGTTCTGTTCTGACATACTAGTCGGTTGTGATAATACTTCTCAGTGAGCTTTGTGCAGAAGTGTCAATAGTCTAAGCACAACTTAATTCAGCAATGAGTTACACATCTTGTATATATGCTTAATCCATAACTTGCTAGATGCCAAACTAGAAATACATGCTGTAATATACTGCAGTTTGCTGTACTGACATTGCAGTTCCAAGCAGTAGTTAATAATTCTGGTGTTTCAGTTATAAATATTAGATTCTGTACAATACAATAGTACTGTATAACACTCACAAGCTATTCAATATTGAGATACTGTAGCACAAATTCATTTTTATTTCACAGTCTAATTATTAAATGTTTTTGTTATATGCAAATTTAGAGTTACTTTTAGTACAAAAAAGTTTTTAACTACTGAAGCAAGTTTTATAAATTACGAACAACATGTAATACATACAACTGAGTTGTCATTTTTAGGAAGTTAGCTTTTGCAGATTAGCTACCGTGATTGCCTACATCAAAGCTGTCACTACACTTCACTGCGTGAAGAGTTTTAACATGATTTAATCTGATAAAGCACTAGAACAAATTCAGGTGATATTAATTATATGATTTGTCAATTTTTTTCTAAATCAAACTTCATATTGAGCAAAAATTAATGCGGTAAGGTGAGTTACACACTTAAACTGGTCACAAGAATGATAGCTCCCCTAATCCACCTCAGCATCCAATAAAATATAAGTTTTCCAATCAAAAAGTGAGAAATACTACTCTTGGTTACAATGTAAAGTCAAAAGTTTTGTAAAAGCTTATAAATGTGCTTTCAAACTAAGTGCAATATTAGATAGGGTGCAGTTCAAAAAATATTTACTATGAGCTTTATAACCTTGAGCCCATCAAATTTTTTTAGCATTAAAATCAAATGTGGAAATCATCAAAAATGACATAATAGATATATACTGGGACTTGTTGTTAAACTGCACATGAGCTTTCAAAGATTACAGTCAGATGTATCAGATAAGAGCACTATCTAATGAGGATGTCCAGCAGTCACTGGAATGTTTTGGAAATTTGGACATCTTCCAACCTAAAATTTAGTTTAAAATATTTGTTTATCGTCCACTTTTTATGCGTACATTAATAGTAAAAACAAATCCAGATGCAGTTATTTATATATTTATTATATATGTTAAAGCTGACCATTAATTGCCAAGTTATCCAACAGCACACACATGATGAATGAATAACTGAACTCTGGCGTGCAGTTGCACACAAAACTAATGCTCTAAAGTCAGACTAGGATCCCAGATGATCAAGAAGTTCTGGGAACCAAAAACAATAAATCACTCTGACACTGCAAGTTTTTCCATGCTTTAAGGAACAGAAAAAAAGTTGGCTAGGTGTCCCCACACCATGGCAGCAGCTGCTCCAACCCAAGCTAACAGGAAATAGCATTGAAGGAACGCAGCATTTAGCACATCTGGAAGAGATTGGGAGTCTTTGAAAATAATGCCCAATTCCCTTGTTCCAACTGATGAGATTTCAGGCTACCACACCATAGCCAACAGAACTGTTTACAATTAGATAAGAAGTAGCTGGATTAACCCTATCCTGCATATTATAAACACAAAATGTAATTTACCTGAATTAGAGTTAATCTGAATGATCAATCTATCTAGTCTTTTTAAGGAAATACCCAAGCATAGGACTAAATTAATATTCTCAGTTCTTTAGTACTTCATCCCTTTCCTGTTATGTATAAAATCTGCTTCATGTAATGTGACAATTCATTTTGTGTTGGTCACAATAAGTCTACCTGCCATAAGCAATACATACTTTACACTGGGATAAATATAAAATGGTAAATTCAACCACAGTCCACCAGTATCCACTGTGGTTCAAATTAAAACTGAATGCGTTGTTAAGTCAGTGTGATAGAATGGTGACAGACAAGTATAACAATGATGGTATTCATAGGAATACTGGCCAATTCTGGTGATGGGTTGCATTGTCAGAGATGCCATCCTTTGGATAAAACATTAAGGTCGCTACATGGCTAATTAGCTAGAGGGTTGTGAGGTTTCTTTGGAGAGGTGGATAATAACTGTGGTTTTGAAAGGAGTGCCACAGAAGGAAAGATTGAAAGCTTGGTGAGTAGGGGGTGAGCAGTGCTGTCAAAGTAGGCCAAGCAAGCCCCTCTCCTACACATAATGTGTGCTACATAAGTAAAAATAGTCATTGTAATAGTAATTATATCTGAAAGCATGGCAATATATACCAGACACTTCTATTAGAAAATTAATCCATATACATTTTTGTGTATTTAAATTACTTATTGCCTGGAAAAAAAAACAACTTGCTTTTATGGCACCTTACATGTTAAAATATCTCAAAGCACTTTACAGAAATTATTGTCAAGTGTGTTTCGTAGATAAACAGTGTAGTTATCATTCTGATATGTATGTTGGATACTATTACCTTAAACAAAGCACTATAACTGAATCAATAGTTTTAAAAATATCAAATCCAGTTTGTAGCGTTTTATTTCAACTTCTACACATACTAATCTGGGGGAGTATTATTTAAATAAGTCAACGTGCTGTGTGAGCAGGTGAAAATAAATGATAGTCAGCAAATGTTTTAGTGATTACAAGTTAAATGTAGCAATTGGTGGTTATAATTAAGCCAAATCCTAGTTATGTTGTACATTTTGGGATAGTAGTAGCTGCTACTGCACTTATTGAAATACACCAAACTCCTTAGGAATTCTAAATTTATTTATCAGAAATTTGGCAAAGAAGTGTAATCTTGGCAGAGTATCACTAGCTCTAAATATGGCACAAAGGAACTATTAGAATGGAGCTTTATTTACATCTTCACATCACCATCGGGACTGATCCCCATTGTATCTATCTTTAAATTTTACTTTAAAAATAAAAAAAATCAGGTTCCTTAAGAACAATATTGAATGAAATCTCCATTTTCTTTTGAGATTATAATATAGTTATCATAAAGTTAGTTGAGTTTTTGGCTTTGATATTTTATCAATTTTTTCTTTTCACTGACTAGAGCTCTCCAGTCCGTTTCTGACCAAACAGAAAACACTCCTCTGGAATTCATAAGGGAGACTGAATTGTCGGGCATTGGGGTGATGAGCCACTCTATGAGAGTGGGGTAAAATATTATTTTTCTTGCTTATCGTGTTCACTTTGTGGTGGGAAAGATTGGGTAATTTTAACAGGTTTAATAAGTTTGGTTATAGTTTTTACATTTGCCAAAAAAATTAGCGCATGGTTTATTTGCTACAATAAATACAAAACAGATTCCCTGCAAAATGTTTTCCAAATGTATTTTATTTCAATTCAGAAACAAGCAAATTCTAGTCTGTCACAAAACAAAGTAAAACTGAATTACTGAATCAGTATTTATTTATCTTCAAAAATGTGCCAGTGAATGATTTTGGTTTTGCATGTTTAGCAAAGGCAGAAATCTGTTGACATTGATCATTAGCACACATCAACTTTGCTTTATTAACTCTAATGTTTCTGTTCAACAAGCATCAAAAAAATAAAATTCTTTAAAAAAGCAAACTGAATCAAACAATCCTTTTTAAGCTCCTCATTCAAGGGAAAAGATTATTGATTTTAAAATCAAGAAAGAAAAACAGCCAAAAGTATTTTTTAATAATAGGTGTAGAGCAATTATAAACATTTACAACCTACAGATACCACAACCAAATTCCAGTTACTTTTATTAAGCAATTTGATACATTTGACCCAAAAAGTAGCAATGGTTGTGTTAACTGCGGTTTCATTTCATGCGATACACTGTAAAAAGTGCATATTTTGGATAAACCAGTAAAGCGCTTTCATAAGCTTAAAACCAAAGAAAAAGTACAAGTATCTTTTGTACTGAATTGTTTTAGAAGACATATCAAGATATAATATGGATCCAATTCCAGTAAACTGAATTTTGTTCTTCAGATATCACTTTAGGAAGACAATCTGCCTTTACATTTTTTACATAAATAAATCAAGAGATAGATCAAACATATTAATTACCATTGTTAATCAACTGATCATAGCAAGGTGGTAAAGCATTCTTGATATCCAGTTTTGAATTTTAAGAGAAATATTTCTGTCGATGATTATGGGTAAATGGATGCATTTCTTCAATAGTAATTTATAGAGATTTTCCTATTTAGGGATCTCTGAGTGAATATTCACCTCTTCCTTTAAATTTTAAAGAGAAGTTCCAAACATGTAGGAATTCAGAAAATCAACTGTTTAGTAATGCATCTTGAAGCTCATTATTTTTATGGATTTTGTGTTAACACCTTGTAATTATGCAATTCTTCAGTAGTTTCACATCCAAATTAACTTGGCAGCCAGAAGCACAATATTCACATTAGGAAGGAATGTTCGAGTTGTTCATTAGCCACAGCCTAGAAGAACAAATCAAAATTATGACATTTACAATATGTTTTATTTTCTAAATGTTTCCTCCAATATTCTACCCTTTCCACAAAAGTGAAAATGCAAATTGAAAAACCGTTCCACACAATATGGGCCATACAATACTTCTGGAACTTCATCTATGTGCCATCAAATTGCCTCCAGTACTTCGCCTGTGGACAATCATACTTTGTGGTATCTTGTCTTGATCTAGTTTCTACATATACTTATTTCAACCTGAAACAGATGACTGGGACCAGGAGCTCCAATATTTTCTCTTCTCCAGCCAACAAACACTACCTATTAATCAAAAAACTTTTAAGTAGTTAGAAAACTGCAGTAAAGCACCCCCAAAAGGGAATAGGAGTGTGGCAAGAGCTGTACTGTTTGAAATTAGTGATAGTACAATTTCTGGGTAAGATACAGTTAGTACTGTATATTATATTCAACATGATAACCCGATATGTGCAGTTTTCAAATCAACGATGGGACTGAGCCCATTAAGTGTGGGCATACACTCTCCACTATATTAAAGTTGCCAGAAACAAGCATTCCTCATAAAACATGGGCAGGGGACAGGGAAGGCGGAAAAGGAACATTACCATTACGGAAGAAAATTGAACAGTAAATCGACCCAATTAGCAAACATAGGAGAAGCTGTAATTTTCCTGGGAGTCAGCTCACATTGGCCATTTGGAACATTAAAGTAATCAATCAGAGTGAAAGTGAACGGTCTTGTAATGAGTAGCTAACTAGGTCATTAGTGCACATAATGAACAAAATGTGTCCAACAGGAAGAAAATAAGCAGGCAAAAAAGTGTTACTTCAGGAAGATTGTGTTTTTAATTTTATTTCATGCTTTTGACACATTTATTTTAAAGTAACGTTACTTAACAATGCAAAGAGAATTTCACCTGCATCATCTTAAATGCAGTTATCCTGACTCAAAAGGCCCATAATTCATACATCCTGCTGGACCATTAAACAAACTTGAATGTAAACAATACTAGTGTGTAATTTGAAAGTGTGGTTGTAAATGTATTTCTCAATTGAAAACTTGCATCTCGCTGTGTAGTGTAATAATAGGGCACAGGCTCAAGTTCACAAGATCTCAAATGGTTAGTTCCTAACAAACTGAGCGAAGTTTACTTGCCACTTAATTAGTAGGGAGAATTGAAACTCCCTAGTTTACAGAATTAAAATGTTTCTGACTCCTGTCATTCATGTGTAAATTATACCAATAGGAAATCGCTCCAGTGGGATCTTTTGGAAAGCTGATGGATTCAAAATTGTGTTGCAGCTGTGTTTCAGTGAATGCTTATCATAGTCCTTCATGAGCATTCATTTTTTAAAAAAAAGTTAAAAGGTGCTCTTGGTTCTTCAGTGGGTTTGTTGGATTTTGTTTTAAAATAAGCACGAGTGTGTTGGGTTTAAACTCTCCTTTCTTGCCTTGAGATAAATAAAATTAGGTTTAACCTATGGGAGGCTGATGTATTTTGAGTGGCTGTAAAGTGGGGAGGTTTGAGGCTATGTTAAAAGTAGTGAGGTTTTATAAGTGGTGCTGCAGACGTTCTTTCCAGAAACTTATTGTTGCAATGTACTTAACACACAACTGACCATTTTAAAAATGAATTTCCATATCAAGAAGTTCAATACAAATTCTACTAAACTTAAAGAGCAACCATAACATACTTAGAAATACAGAATACACAGTGAATGCAGAACTCAGTAAATTCAGAAATACTGATAAGTTTCTTGACTCAAGAAGTTGAAGGATGCAAGCTACATTTAAATAAACAAATGAAATAAATAAACAAATAAATAATATACTGGGGTTAAAGACAGTCAAAACATTTTAGTAACAAAAGGTCAGTACCTGGTACCGAACTTTTGTGTTTTCAAACATATCTAACAATCCCTTGCATTTCCAGAAATGAATCTCGTTGCATCTCGACTACATTCACAAAGACTAACAAAGACTTGTCAATTGGCAGATCGCTTTCCTGGGGTAATAATCCCTTAAAAAGAAATTTGGTCACTCAATCCATGACTGTTTGTGGGACACTGCTGTGCTCAATTGACTGTCACATCAATTCACAATATCGCCCACAAGATACTCACTATACTTTACAGTACATTCTGTGAAGCACTTTGAGACATCTCGAAGACATTATAAGGCGCTATATCAAATGCAAGGATTATTATAATTTCCTCTGATAAACTGGAATTATGTTTGCGGGAGGCGTTCCTTCTGAATTGCTTCACTACTCTTAAAAACTGCATCATCCAAACGAGCAAACAATTAAGTCAATATCAAATTACATTTTTTTCAAAAGTTATGAAGGTGGTTGATAACTAGGTCATCCCAAATTTTACTCTTTTCCAAGGAGAGCAAATCCAACATTATCTAACAAATAAGTGTAGTTCATTTAAAAAACACAACAAGTCTGATAGGCTGAATGACTCTTTATCCTTTATGAAATAAAACAGGAAGCAAGCAGATTTAAAATTTGTATAGATCAGCATTCACTGTTATATTGATAAGCAGAAAATCTGTAGTGCAAATATAAGCCTGAAGCACAGACAATTATTGTCATAATAAAGAAGCAAGAAATGGAAAAATGCCACATTAAGGAGACTGACATTGCCAGTGTTAGACTGCCACCCTCCTCCCTAATAAAGCACTTCATTACCTTTAGTACAAGAAGAGCAGTCTGGTCCTGTGTGCCGCTGCCATATTCTCAGACATATTTCTGACCTTCAGATAGTTGATGAAACCTCTGAAGAACAGCAGAAGCCCTAAAACAGTTTGTTTTGAAAAAATTAGCATGAACACCACATATCTTTGAGACAATATACAGGAATGTTCACATAAACATAACCATGAAACCACAATAAAAAAGGGCTATTTGCAGATTTAATTCATTTCAGATTTCTTAAAAAAAAGTTATAATAAAGGCAAATTTGAAACAAACAAAAATACTGAAACCACAGGTCAAATAGAATTCAAAACCTATACAAACAACTAACTGAAATAGAGTTCCTTCTTCTTTAATGGTGTACATATGTCTGTTTACCACGCGTTCACTTGTTTGTTAAAATCAGGAGGAAACCAAAAGCACACATTTAGGTCCTTTAAATCTATTCACGAATATTCCAATTCTTTATGTACTTGATTGCTTTTTTAAAAATATCAACTGAATTTGTAAGATCTTCCCTCAGAGAATTTTCTTCTTTAAGCAATGCATCCCCTGACACAAGTCTCACATTATGTGGATCTTAAAGGAATAAGATCTATACAACACTAAATACAAATTCCACAACATTCCTAAGGTTCAATTAACCCAGAAGTCTCATGCGGCCTTTCAAAGTTAAGGCACAGGTGTGTTTGCGTAAGGAATAATATTCCCTTTATATTTGCACTCTCCACAAGACAACCATCTTTCTCAAAGATTGTCAAACAAATGTAGCTTTCTCACCAGCACTTACTTAATTAACAAAATCAGCACACCAAAAGAACTAACCCAAAATGTTTCTCCAAGATGAAAGATCAGTAATATAACAATCATAACTTGAAGATACAGGAAGGTGACACAAAGTAGCAGCATTTAAACAAGAAAAAGGTTTAATTATGTGATCTATGTTAAGATAAAAATAAGTTGAAATTTGAGGCATTTCAATCACCTAAATTATACAGTCATGCAGTTTTAATTTATTATTGACATTATGCACCACTAGCTCATCCAGTATGGAATTATGAATAAAATAATCCAAATTCGTAGGCTCCCTCAAATAAAGATTTTAAGATTAAACTGTAGATTTCTAAGACTGGACTCATTAAATATGCACTCCTGTTCCCTATGTGAATATGTAGCTGTTCCTCGGTTAATTAGTTGTTTCGCTAGAATTTTACAAACATACCTCCATAGGAAATGTACTCTATATAGTGTCACTACAAAAGTTATAGTATTTACAAATTTACTTCTATTAAACAATGCTTGCAAATCCATAGTTAGGGCAGTCCCATTTAGTGAAGATACCGGTTTCTCTATTGTGCGCAGATGTCAATAAATCTCACTGGTACCAACAACTTTCAAAGTTATGGTGAACGGTTTCTGTTCAGAATAGCCAATATTATAATGACAACAAATGTGGGAAATGAACCAGAAAGCCCTTGGTTTATGGCTCTGAAAACTTATGTTTAAACCAAGCCTGATTCATCAGAGCATCTGCATGAAGGATTACCTTGGAACTGACATATCAAAATGGTCTGATCAGTGGGCTGCAGAGAACCTCTGAACCAGACAGCTGAGCAGTGTAGCGTGCACATACAATCTCTACAAAGATGCCATGGCAGTACATGGAAGGCTAGTTTTAAAGAATAAAGGAGAGAATGCTAAACATATTCCCAGCTATAAAAAAAATTCCACCTTTTGAAAGGATAAACATTAGTAGCGGTCTAGATAAAAACAGACTGATTAAATATCCAAGAAAAAACTGCTGTCTGCAGACAAGCTATAAGGTAGTTTAACTAGAACTACAAAATTGTTTTCTGAAACTTGCCTCTAATGATAAACCTATCTGTGAAAATATTCAGAAAGACCAACTGAAAATTTGAAATCTATATACCAGTAAGAAAATGAAACTCAATTCACCTACAAAAACAATGAAAATAGAATTATTCATGGCTCATTTAAAAAGGAATCAAAGCCTTTAAAGAATAGAAAATTAAAAGTCCATAACATTAATATGTTTCATTTGTATGTGTGAGACGTCTCAATAAGGCGCTGTATCAAATGCAAGGATTGTTATCATCAATTCAAAATTGAAATGGAATATAATTCTTCAACAAGTACTTTAAAGAGAAAGCCCCTTGAGGTGTTCTAGTTGGTACTTTTAACTTTATTTTGTGACAAAACAGTTTTGCAGTCTGTGAGGCAAGGGCTAGTCATGCATAATACACAAGCTGTTGTCACTGGAGTATTATAACTAGGGCTTCTGATTAAAACCTGATGCAAAAAAAATTAAATCAGCACTTATCCAATAAGCACTGCAAAACCTCAAATGGTTATCTGTTCTGACGCCAACTGCAAATATGTTACTCTTTCTCTGTCTCTCCCTTCGGTGTATGCAGGCTCATCTGGTAACACGTTTGTGAGAGGAGGGAGGCACTGCACGTGATTGAGGGAGCCTCTCTCCCCTCCATGGAATCTGAGTTCCATTAGAGCATGGCTGTTTGTGGGACATTGCTGTACGCAAATTGGCTGCCACGTCCACCCACAAAATACAGCGACTACACATTCTGTGAAGCATTTTGAGAGATCCCATTGACACGAAAGGGGCCATATTAAATGCAAGGATTAGTATTAGTTTATTGATACACAAGTGGAACCTCTTTCCACTCCAAATGCAAAGGTATTTATGGAACAAAGGTCAGTACCGATTATAATAATAACGCTTGCATTTGATATAGCATCTGATCACACTGCTGAGACATCTTAAAGCGCTTCACAGAATATATTGTAAATTCTTTACAATTCAGTCTTATATTTGATTATAGTGTTACTCACTTCTGATACTTAAAACACTTGATAAAGGTGAAAACTATTCTCTGTGTGAATTTAGAGGTAATAAGCAACAAGGTTTCAGTGTGCAACTAAGATTTTCAGCATTTATCAAAATCAAAAGGTCACTGAAGTGTTGGAGAGAGTTCAGAGAACAGCAAAAAGGTTAATTCCTTTAGAGCTCTTATGTTTTATTTAGACTGCATGTCTGGCAATGAAATGCTGTGATTCTGGCAATGATTCATCAGGAAAATTGCAGTATAAATGCAGTCTCAGGTAGAGCAAATGATACCGGTTTCACTCCTGTATTCTTCTTTCATTGCTCCCAGGGAACCTTTGACCTGCTTGTTATGTAGGAATTGATTGCAATGATCTTTTCAAAAAGTTATTTTGGTGTTCCATACATGCAAACATTTTCCAACAGCACGCTGACCAATAAGCACACCTTAGAAGGCCAGAGATAATCCTTTCATCTTTTTTTTCTCTTTACAATCGCTAACCCAACTTCCAAAGTCCACCAGTTTTCAGAGATCCAGGTTCCATTGGTCTAACCAAGATTGATAATTTTACACAATATCAATAAATTTGAATGTAAATCAATGACTGTAATTAGAACTTGATCGGAAGACAAATATTCTGGGCCTAAACGCCATCAATTATGCACTTTTTAAACTCAAATCGCTAAAAGCAAGATAATATTAACTGCTCAAGATAAAGAAAGTTGCATAGATAGTTGTATGGATTTCAGTCCAGGAGACATTGTTCATGTGCATTCAGAAAATTAACATGGCTTCCACATTTCTGAACCAATAAAAATAAATTCCCTATTGTAGATGAAACAAAAAGGTAAACAAGTCAACTTGAATAAAAAGTTTCAGCAATATACCATCTGTTAAATATAATACTGAAACATTAAATCGGTCTATTTTTCATGAATTTTAAAATTCTCGGACGTCTTCAGGAGTAAGTCAGTCCTCCTCCCGTCCCCCCAACTCCACATTCTAAATTCCATTCTGGAAGACCCAGTAAGAAATGCACTAAAAACTAAATGATACACTGAAAACACTGAAGTTTGTTACATTTGCACTGAACAGCTGGGGAACAGGGGAACACAGGCAGTTGGCAGAAGGTAATGGAACTGATGGACTATGATCAGTGACCATAAAGACTCCCCACGCCTGAATATAATTGATTGCAACTATCAAAGGCAATATAAAACTTCCATCACTTTGAATCTGTTTAAAATGAACAATGCATTGTATTATTCTACATATTTTAGTATATCAAAACAGAATCATTCAGTTTAGAGTTCACCTTGAAAGATAAACCAAGAATACTATTTCAATTTTAAATCACAATGAATATAGAGATTGATTTTGAATGGAATTCTTTAAGAAATCTAACTTGAATTTCCATTGGCCCTGGAACTCGAAACATATAGCGTCGAACTGATATGATAAATTTCTGGTCCGTGGAGGAGTCACCATTTGCATTACACCATTAAGCGCTCTGGGACGTTACCCTGAGTGAAGGGGCGATATAAATGAAAGTTGTTGTTGATTCAGATGCCTAAAATTGCAGATTTTTAAAAATTTCTTAAATTCAGGAATAATTTTGAGCCAGTTTTCCAGGGTTTTTTTTAAATATAAAAGAACTACATAAAACTATGGCTAAATTTAAGAATTTCTAAAATTTGTAGTGCCTCAGCATTTTAAGCTGAGGCCAGGAGATTTTGGGGCCTCAAATTCCTTTTTACTCTATGTGAAAAGTTCAGTACAAGTACAAGTTAACATGATCTGACAAATAATTCCATTTGGGTTTGCCCACATTTATTATATTACTAACCAATACTTTCACCTTTGGTGAATTACATAATTAAGAATAGCTTCAATTCCCTCTGTACACATGCATTTACATGTTGTGCACATTCATTCACATCATACATATGATTTACACATTACATATAATAGATTCTAATGTTTTGTGAAAATGTTTCAATTGAATTTTCCCCCTAACGCAATGAAACAGCAGTTCAATGGGATAAATGACCCTCAACAATGCTGTTAGTTTATCAGCTAGAGAGGTGACAAAGACAAATCACACCGCTACTCACTACACCAAATACTCAGAACATAATATTTTTTGTTGGTGTAATAAGCCAATGCTTTTTGCTGATCTACGCATGCGAAATGACATTTCTGAGGAGGCAGTTAGAAATATGGTATCACCATTTCTGGGTAAAAGATGCAACTGGGACACAAACTATGGCAGGAAACTAGAAAGTATTTCAATTATTCAATCTGAGTATCAAATCACATGGAATTGCCGTAGTGTATGAAACCTTTGGAGGGAAGGTTGATATTCTACCAAATACTGGAGTATGCTGAAAGTTCCTAGAATAGCAAATTTGACAACAAAAATATTCTAAGATGGTGGTCCAACATGCCTGATCACTCTTTGTTGCATGAGTGAGGCAAGTAGCATCATTCAATATCAACAAATGTAAAAAGTTAGGTGTGATTGGCAACAAATCCCTCAAGAAGTGATTTGGCTCGAGCCCATCCCAGTGGTGTGTAAAGCATGTGAAATAAATATCTCTAGCCATCGTACTAAAAGTTTAGCTATCAAAGATCCCACCCTTACAGAAAATTAACATTCCAGATTCAGAATGTCAAGGGTGAAAATTGTGAGGTATATAAAATAAAAATCACATTGCTGAAAACTATGGTTGAGGACAGTCGATAGATATCAGGTGCCCCCAGAGATCAGCACAGTGGTAGGGCCTGAAGCTGTCAGAATTGCCAGACGAAAAGCCCAGTACTGGAATGTTGCTTTGTGGGATACCAACTTCGTTCAACAACAAAATTACATTTGTAGAGGGCTTTTCACGTCGGGAGGATGCCCAAACGAGCTAGACAATCAGTGTTTCTGACCCAAGGTGGGGGTTGGCATCAGGGAGGGTGGTGGGGGGAAAAAGGAGCGCGACTGAAGGCACAGCCAAAGAGGAGGGTCTTGAGTTGGGTCTTGGAGGGGGCAAGGGAAGGGGCGAGGCGGAAGGATTGAGTTCCAGAGGGTGGGGGCAGAGTGGCTTCCCATTCAAAAGAAAAATGTAAGATGATATTCTGTGAAACAACAAACAAATATCACCCTGCACTGCCACCAAATAGACACTTTAGATAGGTTCTTATGCTGTGGCAAAGGCTATCTTTGATCACAATTTGATTTGGAAAATGGGATTATCATAACAAGGGACAATTATCACATAATACCTAAATTTTCATCCTGATTATCATTGACTTTTGTGTTCAGGACTCAGGTGGAACTTAATTTTGGAAATGTACTCAATGATTAAAACTATAATTTATAGTTAAACTATAAAATATAGTTAAAAGAAAATAATGTTAACACTTAAAATACACAGCATGCAATATACAATTAAACACATTCCTTCAGGAAGCATCAATTATGAGCATTAAGGAGGCTTGAAAGAAATAAGCTCACCAAGAACGAGGAATATCCACCACAGCCAATATTGACCATTGAAATAGCCAGTGAAGTAGTCAGAAAACTGAAAAAGAAATATATGGTTACAAAATAATCTTGTACATGTATAAAAATACTTTTTTTTCCCCTTTTACAATACATGTAGCACCTCTTGTCTAACAGATAGGAGTCCAATTTTGACTGACCACTTTTTTTTAAAAAAATCGTGAAACTGTCAGAAAAAATAATCAATAGCAATGTTTCAGTGTTTACTCAATTACCAAACTGAAATTATTGTAACATTTTAATTAAGAACATCTTTGACATACATACTTGATAAACAAACACACGTATACAGTTAAAAGGAAACAATTATACTATGTTCAGAGAAAAGCAAAAGGAGATTCCATTTGGACAAACATAACATTATTTAATGAAGGAATTTATGAAGGACAGTATACTTATTTTATCAGTTCATTGCACCTAAGATGAATGCACTAGAAACTCATTTTCTGAAAAGCTTTACGTTTGATATTTTACTTCCTATTAAAGTGGAGACAAAATTCAAGTTTACCTTTAACTTTTCGGGATAAAATATACAAAATTAGAATAAATTATATTTATTTTGATTTAAAAATATATATTTTAATAAACATGAAAAATAATGAAAACTGATCGAGTAACATTTTGATATTTTCTTTATATACTAATTATATTTTGGTGATGAATAGGCATTACCTTTTTGTACCCATTGATAGAACATTACTTATTATCCAGCCTCCAACACAATTCTGACATAAGAATACAGCAACCCACTGTTCTAGATATTAACACCACAACCATATTAGTTTAATCGTATCAGAGTGGGATGTTACAATGAACTCCTGAAAGAAGAGGTATTAATCAAAAGCATCCCCACTGCTTATCACTGCCACGGAGACCCATTCCATAAAGGTCTTATATTCATTAAAGTCTTTTACTTTTTAAACTAGACAAAACAATAATAAATTGGTCATTCTCAATCCACAACTGTTTGTGGGACACTGCTGTGCGCAATTGGCTGCCGTGTTTCGCCCACAAATATATGGTCAATTCACGTTACAGTATATTCTGTAAAGCACTTTGAGGCATCTAGAAGATGTGAAAAGCGCTATATCAAATGCAAGGATTATTATTATTTAGACACTCTCACATTCAGTTCCCAGCAAAGAGCTCAAAATGGCTAAATGAACGTGAAAGCAGAATTTTGGCTATTCCTGTTAATGGCTATGCTAGTTTTTATTCTGCATGATGTGACAAATCTCAAAAAGCAGCTGTGTATTTTTAAGCAGGTGTACCTGTCCCTTATACGAACAGACAACTTGAATCACTGATTTTTTTTCAAAAAAGTGAATCAGACACCCAAGAGTGGTTGCTTTTCAGCATATGCCAAAATACCTTGTAAAATTTTGTAACACATTTATTAAGTTTTCTACTGATGGTCCTTCAAATATATTGCCTTTTCTCCAATCAAAATCATTTTAAATGAAGCAACATGCAACTAACAAGGTATCACTGTTGCATTTAATTCTAGTAGTATTTACAATCAGCCAATCCTATTTTGTTACAGAAATTGCTTTTTTAATACTGCATGCAAATTATATTCCTTTATTTCAAATATTGAAATAATAATAATAAGTAAATAACTTCTGGGTTTTAGAAACGCTCTAATAGGTTACAGGATATTTTGTCCAAAATCAATTAAGTCCTTTCTTTTAAGATCCTTTAATTCTTCTCCCCAAAAATTGCAATAAGTTTCAAGATCAAAACACTGCAGAAGCAAGAACTACATTTGCTATCTTTCAACAAAGCAAAGCATTCTAAGGTCAAGCAAAAAGAAAATAACGATTTTCACAAGAGGCTATATTTTGCCCCGTATAGGAAAACAAGCCAGAATAGTCAATACATAACTACACTTCAGAACCATTTCCTTTTGGACACAAAAGTCTACAGCACAAATTGTTCCTGAAGACCTATCTGACTCAAGGTTGTGGAATGCATTGTCTGAGAAAGTAAATGATATAGAATTGAGTGTTTTCCTGAGTTATATTATCAGGATGTTGGGATCAGTCTATTGCCTTTGCATTAAAGTAGAGCTGGTATAGCATATTAGTTGCTAGGTTCTATTACTCAGCAAAATGATTTTTCACATTACCCAGGAAACCAAATTTAAAAAAAGCTGACAATTTCAACTGCATATCCCTAACAACTAGCACTTTTTCAATTAATCTGAACAGAGCACCAATTTTTCCTCTCTTTTATCCCACAAATGTGGAACTTCACCCAACAGTACCTAACTTTCATGCCATTCTACAACCATAAGACTAGATACTAATGTCAAAATGTTATTTAATCAAAGTAACATAGGGCCAACCCTGATCTTGTCCTTATCCAGCAGGGATCACTAGACTGTAGCAACGCTACCCCTGAGCAAGATCAATAACACAAACCAGGGAATTAAGTCATGGGTCTTTGCATTCTGTAAGACTCAGATTCATACTGAACAGGACATTGATCAACTAAGCCTTCAAGGAACTACTTTAATTAAGTGATAAGGCAGTCAAAATTCCAATAGGCCAAAAAATTGGCTGCCACATTTCACCCACAAATATACAGTCAGTTCACTTTACAGTCTATTCTGTGAAGCACTTTGAGACGTCTAGAAGACGTGAAAAAGCACTATATCAAATGCAAGGATTATTATTATTATTAGTAAGTTTTCCAGCAGAAAACATGGGAAAACAAAACAATAAATCAAACTTAATGCCAAATGAGGTAAACACATAATCTGCTGATACAACAACAACAAGATTCCATTTATAGAGCGCCTTTCACGTCAGGAGGACGTCCCAAGGCGCTGCACAGTTGGGTCATGACCCGAGCAGGGGGGAAATGGTCAGGGTGAGGGGAGGGAAGGGAGGGAGCGAGGAGGGGGGAAATGGTCAGGGTGAGGGGAGGGAAGGGAGGGAGAGAGGAGGGGGAAATGGTCAGGGTGAGGGGAGGGAAGGGAGGGAGCGAGGAGGAGGAAGAGAGTCGAGAGGGGAGCTGAAGGCACGGTCAAAGAGAAAGGTTTTGAGACCGGCCTTGAAGGAGGAAAGGGAGGAAGCAAGGTGAAGGCACTGGGGGATGGAGTTCCAGAGCCTGGGGGCTGAGAGGCTGAAGGCCCGACCACCGATAGTAGGGCAGTTGGGGCGGGGGACGTGGAGCAGACCGGAGCCAGAGGAACGGAGGGTACGGGCAGGTAGGTAGGGGATAGTAGGTTGGAGAGGTAGGGGGGAGCAAGGCCGTGAATGGCCTTGTAGGTGAGGATGAGGATCTTGAAATCAATCCTCTGGGGGATGGGGAGCCAGTGGAGGTGAGCGAGGGTGGGAGTGATGTGGTCCCGAAGCCTGGTGCGGGACAGTACACGAGCTGCAGAGTTCTGAATGACCTGCAGCTTGTGGAGGGAGGTGTCGGGAAGGCCGGCGAGGAGAGAGTTCCCATAGTCCAGCCTTGAGGTGACAAAGGCGTGAACCAGGGTTTCAGCAGCGTGAGGGGTGAGGTAGTGCCGTAATCTGGCGATATTCCGGAGGTGATGGAAGGCGGTGCCAGTTGTGGTGCGGATGTGAGGGAGAAAGGACAGCTCAGGGTCGAACAAAACGCCGAGGTTCCTGACTGGCTTTGAGAGGTGGAGAGTGCAGCCTTGGATGCTGATGGTGTCAGCGCCTGAGGTGCGGAGGCGCTGACGTGAGCCAATCAGGAGGGCCTCGGTTTTTCGCACGTTGAGCTGAAGAAAGTTGTCTCTCGTCCAGGACTCGATGTCGGACAGGCAGCTGTCAGGACATCGGTGGTCGTGGAGTTGAGAGTAGAGGAGGAAAGGTAGAGTTGGGTGTCATCCGCATACATGTGGAAGTTAACCCCATGTTTGCGGATGATGTCACCAAGGGGGAGCATATAGAGGGTGAAGAGGAGGGGACCGAGGACAGAGCCCTGAGGGACACCACATGAGACAGTACGGGGGGTGGAGGAGAAGCCATTCGTTGAGACGAAGTGAAGACGGTGGGAAAGGTAAGAGCTAAACCATTCAAGGACAGCCTAATGGATAAAGGTACCTCTCAAAGCAGAGATAGGCCATAAGGACCACCTGGGTAGTGGACCATTCAAGTTTGGCAGAATACAAACACGCACTTAGCTCATAAATCACAGTTTACAAGTACAAAAGAAAACCTTACCAACCCGAACAGACACACTGCAGTCTATCAAGAAAAAAAGGTTAGTCAAAGGTAAGGTGGGGCCAATTAAGGACCAAGACGGAAATCTTATTGTAGAGGCAGAGGGCATGGCTGATGTACTGAATGAGTACTTTGCATCTGTCTTCACAAATGTGGATGCACCAAATGCCACAGTATCGGAGGAGAGGGTAGAGGAAATGGATAGGATAAGTATAAACAGAGAGGAAGTACTGAAAAGGTCGACTGGGCTGAAGGTAGATAAGTAGCCCGATCCGGACAGGATGCAGCCAAGGGTATTATGGGAGGCACGGATACAAATAGCGGAGGCTTTGGCTACAATTTTTCAATCTTCGTTGGACACATGAGTGGTGCCAGAGGCCTGGAGAGTGGCCAATGTGACTCCCCTGTACAAAAAGGGGCAGAAGGACAAACCTGGGAACTACAGGCCAGTCAGCCTAACATCAGTAGTGGGGAAAACTCCTGGAGACTATAATCCAGGACAGAATAAATCTTCACTTAAAAGAATACAAGTTAATTAGGGACAGCCAGCACGGATTTGTTAAGGCAAATCTTGTCTAACAAATCTAACAGAATTTTTTGAGGTAACGGAGAGGGTGGATAAAGATAGTGCAGTTAATGTAGTTTATATGGACTTTCAAAAGGCATTTGACAAAGTGCCACATGAAAGACTTGTAAGAAAGATAGAAGCCCATGATATAAAAGGGAGAGTGGCAGCATGAATCCAGAACTGGCTGGGAGACAGAAAGCAGAGAGTTGTGGTGAACTGCTGCTTTTCTGACTGGAGGGAAGTGAACAGTGGTGTCCCCAGGGATCGGTATTAGGATCACTGCTCTTCTTAATATACATAAATGATCTGGACATGGGTATAGCAAGTACCATTTCCAAGTTTGCAGAAGACACAAAGTTGGGTAGGGTAGTAAACAGTGAGAAGAATAGTAGCCAACTGCAGGAAGACATGGACAGAATGGTAAAATGGGCAGACACATGGCAGATGAGTTTCAATGTGAAGAAATGTGAGATGTGCATTTTGGTAGAAAGAATGAGGAGAGGCAATATAGGCTGGTAATACAATCTTAAGGGGGGTGAAAGAACAGAGAGACCTGGGGGTGCAGGTAAATGAATCCTTGAAGGTGGCAGGACAGGTAGATAAAGCTGTATAAAGGGCATATGGGATACCAGGCTTTATAAATAGGGGCATATAGTACAAGAGTCAGGAGGTTATGATTAACCTATATAAAACACTGGTTAGGCCTCAGTTAGAATACTGCGCCCAGTTCTGGGCACCACACTATAGGAAGGATGTTAAGGCATTGGAAAGGGTGCAGAGGAGATTTACGAGGATGGTACCAGGAACGAGGGACCTTGATTATGAGGAAAGGCTAGAGAGGCCGGGATTATTCTCATTGGAGCAGAGAAGGTTACAAGGAGACCTAATAGAGGTCTTCAAAATCATGAGGGGATTTGATAGGTTAGAAAGGGAAAACTATTTCCACTGGTGGGTATGTTGGTGACTTGAGGTCACAGACTTAAAATAGTCTCTAAAAGAAGCAGAGGGGAGGTGAGAAGAAATGTTTTCACGGAGCGAGTTGTTTGAATCTGGAACGCATTGCCTGAAAGGGTGGTCGAGGCCGATTTGATAACAACTTTTAAAAACGCGGTGGACAGGTATTTGAGGATGACGGGTCTGCAGAGTTATGGGGAAAGGGCTGGGGAGTGGGACTGACATTATATTGCTCTTCTCAAAGAGCCGGCATAGACTCGATGGGCCGAATGGCCTCTTTTTGTGCTGTTCGATTCTATGATTGTTAACAGTTCCAAAGGTACCTGGATTTGAAACTACTCCTACATCCACTTGCCATCCTACTTCCCCCTCCCCCCTCCCACCAATCACCAATGTCAGGCTCTGCATTTCACAACCCTCTGACCAGTCATGCGGCCTGGGACTCCTCCTGGGCTGTGGCCTCCTTCCTGGAGCCTGAAAGAGAGAGCTTGGGCAAAAGGCTCCAATCCATAACCATTTGGAGAGGGGTGTCTCCCAGCCAGTAGGGGACACTGTGCTATGAACCGACTGGACAGATTGTGTAATAGCTCCTGAAACCTAGAACTCGAAAGAACCATTCTGTGACCAGGCCAACATTTCTTTCCTATACCCTGCCAAGAGATTCCAGGACTGCAGAAGCATAATTATCCACTCTGATTTTCCTTCTCTCCTACTGGGAGACGCTGAAGTTTAACCCCAATTGATGTGCTCAGAACAAATCATCTTTTGTTTGCAAAATTCCATTAATATTTTGGCAAAAAATAAAAAGAACCTTATAATCCATTGGCTCTTCTGCTTTGGTGCAATAGGCCTAGCACAATCAACCCAATTTCAGAACAAAGCTCTAGCACGAATTCAAGAATATTCAAGACATGAAAAATAACATTCAACTTTGATGATTTACTAATGCAACAAAACTACAAATAGACATCGAGTCACAAGTAGTTTATCTAAAAACTGCTGGTGTTATGCATTCTATTTATATTAGAATGTAGATAAATATTAAATACACATTTTATGAACACATTTAGTTAGATTTGCTTCCCTAAATGTTGAACGTTCTTTTCTGATCCCCTTTAAACTGCACTGCAGAAACTTGAACTAAAATGCACCAGACCTTGATCTTTAAAATGTAAGCTGCATTGTAAAGATTGATATCCTTACAAAACTGACCAAGATATCAATTTCATTAATAAGCATATTATAACTACACTGTTAGAGGAAAGGCAAAGAAGAAAATCCTTAGTGCTGAACTTGGAGGTTCCACTTCGTGCCAGCATTCTGACTATTTTGGTTCCTAACAGCGGTCCAGGACTAGGTGAATTAAGCTCCAAGCTCATCATTAATTTTCCCAGAATCCAAATTACTTACACCATCCACAGACATTCTTTCTACCTTGCCCAATTCACATAAAGTCAGAGTGACTGGTAATCTTGTTTAGTTCAGTTTATTAAATCACTTTTAAATTGCACCTGTAAGCAGCAGAGAAAGGAACAAGTTTTCCTTTAGCAACGCTGATAAATCAAAATCAAGAAACGTTCCTCTGTACTGCAGTTACCTTATCAGGGATGTGTTGGAGGAACTAAAGCAGAAATTATGAGCTGGAATTTGGCTCACATTTCCTCAGTCGACACCATGCTCACATAAACAAAGAACTTTTGTTTGGGGCCAAAATGTTGCACTGTGTCTAATGTAACTTTTAAAATACCATGAAAGATATTTGTGCCACAATTATTCATTTCACAACAAACTTTAAATAAAGATTCATCTAATCACATAGTTTGATCTGGCTTCATAAACTTCTATTTGTAAATGTTTTAAATGCAGCCCAGATTAATTAATCATATGCAGCCTCAAATTTTAATATTCTCCACCACAAACTCTCTTGCACCTACTTGTAATTCCTTTCTCTTCTTCCAGTTTCAGCCAAACAGTCCTCCTTCAGCTGTGCCACTGAACTATGGGGAATTCTCTACTCAGTTCTCCTGATGGTTTACATGTACACTATTGAAATTCAAATCTGTTTTTTCCAAACAACTTGTCTCTTTCACATCCTTTCCTCCCTGCTTTTTTNCTAAATCTCTGAATTGACAAGGATCTTCACTTCTGTTAAATTACTCACTGCTACCAATTTCTAGGACTTAATCCAGTTAAGACATGTTCCATGTTACAGTTTAGACATGTTCATTACTACATTGTAACCAAATGATATAACTCCCCAGAGACTATTTCATCAATGTTTTCTGAAGAGTGTTCTTTAATTTTCACTTCACCTTGTATAATTTCATTTGCCATTGACCTCTACATTACTGAAAATGAGCAACTTATTGAAGCAGTTCCCACAGTCGTTTACTTAGATACTTAGAAAATTAACACCATCTTACAAGAGTCTCCGTCTTCTAGTTTTTTTTGAGAAGGTCTCTCTGTACCTTCCACAATACTGCCATCCATTGCTAAGGTCCTGCCACTGCCACCAGTGAATAATAATAATAATAATAATCCTTGCATTTGATATAGCGCTTTTCACGTCGGGAGGACGTCCCAAAGCGCTTCACAGAACACACTGTAAAGTGAATTGTATGTATATTTGTGGGCGAACGCGGCAGCCAATTGTGCACAGCAATGTCCCACAAACAGTCATAGATTGAAAATGACCAATTTAATTATTTTTTTTTGGTTTTTGAAGGGATTATTATTAGGCTCTGTGTGGAGTAAGGAAACTTGCCCAAGATTTCGCCCTCTGCCTGGAATTGAACTCAGGTCTCTCACTTGCAAAGCGAGTGCTCTAACCACTGAGCTACAGGACTCCACGACCTTCTGAAATTGGTGCCACCTATCCTCAGTTTTCTGCTACTGCCATTGCTGCAGTTTACTAATCTGCTTCATTCAGTCAAAAAGCCGATTTGTAATGGAGAACCATTTCCTAACTTTCAACCTCCATTCACAGCAAATGACTTAAGCTGAATTATGGTTTTCAAGTGGAATAAAAGCAATTCCCCCAACTCTTATTTTTATTCCCAAATCTTTAAAACATTTTTCTCTCATGACATAATAGTTCCTGACCAGCTAACTCTACTTGTACCACCCACAAGGGGAACTGAACAGATTTCCTTGCTTACATTGTTTTTAATCTGCATTCTATACCACTGCCTGGCTGAGCTGACAAAATATTGAAAATTTTAACTATAAACCTCTGTGTCACAACATATTAGTTCACCAACTGATAATGCATTTTACCATATCTAACATTAATCTATTTCAATTAATTTTCCAAACAACTTCAAAAGGCTTACTCCAGGTATTGTTAAGTTTAGAGTGTGAGCAGCACTATTTACACCCATTATTACAGAGAAACTCCAATAAGACAGACACAAATTTGGGTATATACAAGTTCTGCTTATATATTAAGTGTTCAGCAACAGCCTGGATTCATACTTCCAGATTCAAGTTCTCATGACTCTTTAGCATACACATAGCATTAACAGGTTTCACATGAGGTTTGAACACAGCATGAAGTTTCCAGCATGAATGAATCAGGCAACACAGAATGTCTTTCATATCTAGTAGCACCCTAGGTATCAGCATTTCCCCCCACCCCCTCCCTTCTCACCAAATGTACACATTAGCATTGATCTTCATCATTCCCCTTCCTCCCACCCCAGGAAACAATCAATACACCTGTCAAAAAGCACCTAAAAAAAATTACTTACCCGTACGATCAGGATCCATTTTATCAACGATAATCCAAACCCACAAATTGCACCATAGCGACCTGCTATGGTATTGGTGAGGCAGAAGGACAAACAAAAGCCAATCCAGTTAAAGAGGAATGCCACTGAGAAAAGAAATGAAATGAATTTTAAAATTCAACACCTTAGAACAAATATTCTACTCAGAACTCAACAGTATTAGGAAATGTATTTCTTATTGATAATTTATTTGCAAAGAATAACCAGTGAGGGTATTTTAGCTCCTGTGATGTGCATATGTGTCAAACTCTCTTTCTCTTGTTATATGAAGGACTAACATCTCATATCAATAGTGTGGTAGGGTAGTATACTTCCATCCACCACCAATGCTCAATTTGGCTACCTAAGAGATGAACAAGTATCTTGCAAGATCCCTCCAATCAATTTTTTTTCCATCATGCAAAGGGCTTACACAGTAGCCATTTGTTACAGCTTAGATCAGAAATGAAATAGAACATTTAATCTTGGCTGCAATGTTAGTCCAAGGTCCAATATGCAAGGCAATAATAAAAGAATTGTGAGGAAAAAGTCTACAACCTCTAATACAAAAAGTGCCAAACTGGATTTTGAGAAAACCATAGTGCTGTTAAAGAAAAACTAATTGTAAGGCTGCAGCCTGCAAGATTAAATCTAGATGAAAACTAAGAGAGCATTAATTTAGAAAAGGTAATTGGCATATCAACCCATCTCATGTACATAATACTTGTATTCACTGACTGCATTTAATTTACTTACTATCCTGAGATCAGTTCTGCAGAATTTTTTCCTGTACAATCAAATAAGGAGGCAAACCTCAAGAATATATCCATTTCTACTGTTCAGCCCATAAGCCCATTGCTGCTGAAACCATTTTTAAGTTACCTCAAAGATAGAAATCCATTTTTCAGTTATGTCAAAGATTTTTCCAATGCTCACTCGAGTTCTCCTAGTTCTTAGGATTTAAAGACTCCAATAATAATCCTTGCATTTGATATAGTGCCTCATCACGTCTTTGAGACATCTCAAACTGCTTCACAGAATGTACTGTAAAGTGAATGGACTGTATATTTTGTGAGCGAAGTGTCCCACAAGAAAGTCATGGATTGAGTGACCAAATTATCAATCACACAGCAACTGCCCCCATCAAGCCAAAAGACTTGTTCAAAGTCCTTATTGAATAATAAATCACTCTTTTAAGAGCCCATTTTCTGGAGTCATTCTTATCATTCTTCTCTGAACCCTCATATTTAAAATATCAAATATGACTTCACCCATTAAACAATGGCTCCAGTGTTAAGGTTTTAACTCCCTGTCAGTGACACCATTTAAGCAACTTAGTTGAGGAGATGGATACAATATGTGAAGCACAAGGCAATTTAATTGAAGAAAATAATTTTCAGTCCTGCTGTTTTCTAATGGGAAAGAAGTGCCTTGAATGGAAAACACTTCACTATATTTTCCTTCCCTTTTTATGATATTTTCATTACATTATATTCATTACATCCAGGATTGACTATGCCCAGCTTATCAGTTTCCCAATTCTTCCTCTTCCCTCCACAAACTGCATATTATCCAGAACTCTGCAGCTCATGTCCTCTCCTGCACTAGGGTCCGTGACCCCATCACACCCGTCCTCGCCCGGTTCCACTGGCTCCTCATCCCTCAGAGGATCAAGTTCAAAACCCATTCTCACCTTCAAAGCCCTCCATGGCCTTGCCCCCACCTACCTCTCCGAACTGCTAACCCCTTATCAACCTATCTGCTCCCTCCATTCAACAGGTTCCGGCATGCTCCATGATCCCTGCCCGGCTCGCCTACCATCAGCGGTCAGGCCTTTGCTGCCACCCTTTGGATCTCCATCCTACATTCCCTTTGCTTCGCTCCCTCAAGGCATGCCTCAAGACCCTCCGCTTCGACCGCGCCTTCGGCCACCCTCCTACCCTCCAACTTTCCTGATTCTCTCCCCATCCTCTCGGGTCCTAATCCCAGATTGTTCAGCGCCTTGGGATGTCCTCCCGACGTGAAAGGTGCTTTACAAATGTAATTTAGTTTTGTACTTTTTATGCACGTTATTTTGTCACCAGTGTGTATTATCATCAGGAAATAAAAACAAATGATGTCTATAACATTCTGCATTATTGTTAAAACAGAAAATGGCTGGTGTACTCAGCACTTCAGGTTTCGAGTACAGCAGAAAAATATAAAACCAAGATCTGATAGTAATTGCTGTACTCACCAGTGGGTGGTGCATTTAAGAAAGTGCACAACAATTCCTTAAACTTCCACAGGATGGCACAAATAGCCCATGATTAAAGAGTCAGCAAGCATTTGTTAAAGGCAAGTCTAATTGATTAAATAACTAAGAAAATAGATGAAGGTAATGCTTATGGGTGATATATTATATATGGATTTTCAGAAGGTTTTTGATAAGGTGCAGCATAAGAGACTTGTAAAAAATAATGAATTGGTCATTTCAATCCACAACTGTTTGTGGGACCCTGCTGTTCACAATTGGCTGCTGCATTTCTCCCACAAATATACAGTCAATTCACTTTACAGTCTATTCTGTGAAGCACTTTGAGACATCTAGAAGATGTGAAAAGCACTATATGAAATGCAAGGATTATTATTATTATAGTTTAAAAAAAATACGATGCATGGTATTTATGAAAAGGTAGCAACATGGATAGAAAGTTAGTTAAAGATGGTGGAAGTACAGGGTTGTTATATGCAATGGAGAGATGTAAATAAACATGGCTACTATTAATGAAAAAGTCACTAGTCTTAAGAAATTAGAATTTACAGCATGATAAAACACTGGTTCACATTTAGTGAACTTTGAAATACAATATAAATGGGATATTATTTATTTTTAAATACACAGCTTCAATAAAAGGCTCCATTTATCAAGAGATTTTGAAATATATAAATTGTTTACAAGTGTTAATATTTCCTTTCTGTATTTCTCACTAATGTTATTGGAAGAAAAGCTTTGTCTTTGAGAGATCCTCCTGAACTGTAAAATTACTCCCAATAAAGATTTAACAACTCCAACTGTGTGTAATTTTTCAAAGTTGTATCTACTGTTCTGAGCTAATGTGTAGAAGACTGCAGAGCTAACAGTTTGATGATGCAAGATGGAACATAAAGGAGACACAGCTGATAGCATGACTTTTCAAATAACATAATAATCCTTGCATTTGATATAGCGCCCCATTACGTTGTTGAGATGTCTCAAAGCGCTTCACAAAATATATCGTAAAGTGGATTATCTGTGTATTTTGTGGGCAAGATGCATTTACAATTGCAGAATTAAGACAGATATTTATTGAATTGTAAACCAACAATACATGCTCAAACCCTAGTTGAATGCCATTTACCAGGCTTGTTTGATCACTAAACTTGAGCTCTAAAATTGTAAAACACTAAAGATCCTACTTTAATTCATTCAGACTAGAATTATATCTTTCCAGTCTGACAGAATCTTTGTGAAGCCCCTAAATTTGCATTTTTAAGCACTTTAAAAGCATTAGCTTTGGTGGTCGTGCTATTCTACATGTTCCAATACACTAGAATGTAATGGACAAATCTTTCATCCAAAAACTGAAATGCATATCTCGCCACTTTGTTACTGACCTTGAAACATTAAATAGATCTTTTGAACCAGAAACAGTCATTTAAAATTTCTACCATAACATTTGTAACCTCCAGTTTCTCAACCTTAAGGAGCTTACTCATTATGTTTGTTCTTTGCTGTTACAGTCAAAGGATCTTCATTTTCCTCTACTTGAACATTAACTGAATATCAGCCTGTCCACTCCCTTCACTTGGCAGTGACTGCTCCATGTCACCCGCCCGACCATTGGCGGTCGGACCTTCAGACTTTCTACACCTACCCTTTGGTCCCATTCTAGTCCCTTCACCCCACCCCCTCCCTTGCCTGCTTCAAAGCCTGTCTCAAGACCTTCCTCTTTGACCGTGCCTGCGGTCATCCTCCTCCCTTCCACCCCTCCTGATCCCAAATCCCAGCTTGGGTTACACCCTTGACTGTCCCGGCTTTGGGACATCCTCCCAATGTGAAAGGCATTATACAAATGTAATTTGTTGTTTTATAATTTGCTGCTCTCAACATCCTTTAGATCTGTAATGTTCTAATGAATATTGCTATATTGGGTAAATATTTCATGTTTCCTTTTCCAATTTTACTTTCATCTACCACTAGATGATGCATTTAATTGGTCCAGTCCATCAGTTTCTATACTTCTCATTGAACACAGCTCAGTACCTTTGGAAAATTTGCAATAAAGAATTGAATGAATGGAAAATGAAAGTTTAAAACCATGTCTTGCTCCTCCATGGTATGGCACCGTTATGTGAGCTGCCAACTGCTACCAGGCATCTTACAAACCAACAATATCAACAAAAACAACTTGCATTTATAGAGTGCTCTTCACATTAGGTAGCTTCTGAGCCTTAACAGTGGAGCTTGACACTCTGAGAGGATGATATATAAAGAAACTTGCAACTATGCTATCCTATTGAAAACTGGAATATAAATGTAAAAAATTATGTCAAAGCTAATAAAAATTTCAATCTTAAAAATTGTACAGTACAGCCCAGGGTTACTTGAGACAATTTACCTGTGGTCTTCAGCAGATGGTCTGCCTGTTGTGCCATGCTCCTATAGCTGAAGTGCAGTTTTGTTTCCTCTCACTGTTCAGTTCAACCCATAGTTTTAATAGAATCAATAGTCCTATTTCCCATACCTATCTGAATCGGTAATACTACTGCCTTCTGCAGGGTGAACAAAAAGTCATGATACCATTACAATGGCTAATAAGTCTTAAGAAATTATATTTTTTTATATAGATAATAGAGTAGTTATCATGACTTTTTGGTCACCTGTACTAAAACATTGTTTGTAGTTGTGACCATTGATTAAAAAGTTAAGCAACAATATATTAATTAATTGGCATGCTTAAATGAGTGTTTTACAGCAAAAAATAAAACATTAAAATTATTTTTCTCTCACTATATAAACCCTGATAACTCAATGATCTAAGGGAAAAGGGCTCAGTGAAAAGATATCAGGAGTGGTGAGCGAGGCCTATGTATACATAAAAACAACTGGAATACTGACAGCGTGATGACTTAAGTGGTCGTGACATGTTCAATCAGGGTAAAATCATAAGGAGTTACTGTAAATAAAACAAAAATGTAGACTTACTGAAAAATGCCAGCATAAAGATGCCATCATTGCCAACTCTCAATTGGTCAGCATCATTGAAGTCATCCCTTGGTGGAAATTCTTCTTCCTGCATAAGTGGGGGTAAAATATTTTTTTATATAAGAATGTACACACTGTGGGTCACAAACGTAAAAATTAATTGTCCTAGCTGGATAAAAGCTGCTATCATGACTTGTGAAGTAATTCAGTCTATGACTGAACCCAACTAGTCTTTGATTCATTACAGTTACATGCTTACCCCCACAATTTTTTTTATTACTTTCCTTTCACTGCAACATTATTCCCTCCCACCATTCTTTTGCATTTATGACATCGAGAAACAATGTTACACTACAATAGTAGAACCAAATTTACAAGACGACTGAACAATTTAAAACACTCTCCCTGTACCGTCACAGAAAGCAGTAATCTGACATTAAAGTCCCATTGCGTCACTCCAAAATATTGACATGAATCAGTACAACAAACAAAAATATACATACATAATACAAACATAAACTTGTCTATCTACTGACAAGTCCAATCCCTGAAGAGTTTTGTTGATAATCAGATTTTAGTACCCATGGTCAGATAACAGTGGATGCACATAGGGATACTCTTCACTCTTCTATAGACAACAGTGCTCTAACCACTACTTTACATGGGCCACATCAGTGGATGTCATGAGAGATTAGGCCCATTTGATCTTATCCTTGTAAGAATGATGGTTTACAATAATGCAAAATTATACAAACACGGCCATAGATTTATACCAATAGACAAATAAAATCAATGTCAAATAACACATATTTTTATATAAACATGTGTTTGAATTTGGAACCAAATGGCCAGTAATACAATACAAAATTACATTTGTAGAGCTCCTTTCATGTCGGGAGGGCATCCCAAGACACTGGACAGTTGAGGGATTTGAACCTGAGCAGGGGGTTTGGGATCAGGGAGAGTAGAGGGCAGGGAGGGTGGCCAACGGCGCAGTTGAAGAGGAGGGTCTTGAGGGAGGCAAGGGAGGGAGCAAGGGGAAGGAACTGTGGAATGGAATTCCAAAGGGTGGGGGCCAAAAGTCTGAAGGCTCAAACGCTGATGGTGGGGCGGGCCGGGGATCTGGAATCTGCTGAACGGAGTGAGTGGACAGGTTAATAACAGCAGCAATAAATCAAAAACGGCCACAAATATTATGAAAAATGTAATACTGTAGATATATCTGAAGGTCAAACCATGTAAGCCTGTTTTATCAAATCATTTTTTCATATTAATGTTTACTTCAAGCGACAGATCAAAAAGGTCTCTTGTTTCTTTCAGTATTGCAACCAAAATGTTGTTGCAGTCTCACATCCAATTTATATTTCTATAATGTTATTGTATTTAATAGGCTTATAAATTTCAGTTGCTGTGAATAATGCAGTTAATTTTGTTTATCATATTTCTAGAGTCTACAAAACATTTACAGCAATTTTAAAATGTATGAACATAACAAGCAGGTCTTAATGAATACAGATGTTTAGGAATTTCTTGGTTTCTTATAAGTTGTGGATATTACCACATTTATCAACTTATTACTAAATGCTTACACATCAGCACTGAGTCCTACATACAGAAATAACTGCATTGTGTCCTTTTGACCTTAAATGTAACTTTTTCCAAATTATTTTGTGATATGCCCAAAAACGTTATTTGCAGCAAACTAGATTATTACTGTAAACCTTGTTATATTCACAATTAGGTGGAGTTTAACTTGTCTGGGAAAAAAACAGATGTACTTCCAATTTCTTATGGTGGATTAAAGAATTAGTGACCCTTGCATTTTTATAACACCTAAACATGTTGATCAATCTCAAAGTGCTTTACAAGTAATTATCATCTTGCACGTTGCTAGATAGCTGCGATATTTGCATACAAACTCAGCAGCTATTTTCTGAAACAAAATCCCACAATCCACCACAAGGCAAATAAGCAATTAATCTGAAAGAGAGAAATGCCCTTTTTTAAAAAAATTGGACCAAACTATCTTCAACATTCACCTGAACACGCAGACATCAAATAACACATTCTGATTGGACACGAGACAAGGCCCTTAACCTCAAATAAAGCCTCCTGATAACCTGGCCAAGATCAGAAATTCACCATATAGGGAAATAAATTAATTTATTTGAATGCTTTTTATTCATTTTATTTATTCAGTGCACTGAAAATACATATTTTTTTAAAAAGCAAACATTGCTTTTCTCGTACTCTGGAAGATAAACAATTGAATGGTACACTAAACTACACAGACTAAAGTTGCAGCTTTAAATAAAGGTGAGTGCTTTGAGTTCCAGGAATAGTTTAGATACTACAGAATGAAATGTTAGTTTTTTTTCAACAAATGCTCAAAATACTCAAACTATCACAATATTTTAGGCAGTTTAGGAACCAACAAAAGAACAATATAGGAATGTTTAGCAAAACTAATTCTGTGAATTTTCCATGTATGTAGTTTTGCAAACAAAATAGGGTACTTGAATATTACTTGCTACTGGATTTAAGTGACAACATAAATACAGTCCATGCACACAAACGAATTCCACCTGAATCTATATACTGTATCAAATGTTATTTCATTATTTACTAATGAAGGACAAATGCGGAGCACACAATACAAACAACAAAACAAGATTTTCTAAAGTATTCATGCATTACTGCATTAAGATTAACTATCTACCTAAATACTAAATAGCTATTACAATTGAAAAGTTGGTCATTTCAATTTTAAAAAATTAAGATTAAGAGCGGGATCAGCAGCACGTGGTTTTTGTCTGAAAAATATATGTTTTAATAAAAGAGGAACAAAACTATAAAATGTATGCAGTGAACATTCTTCAAACAAACGACTATGTTATGACCGTAGTAAAAGAAATAAGTCATTGGACAATGTGGAATTCCATTTTTATCTTCTGAGTATAAAAGGCTACAAAACCCATACATGACCAAGCTGCAAGTGGATTAACATCTTTACCAGCCAGTAAGTACGCAGTTCCAGGTTAAGACTACACTTCCCACAATTCAATGTGTCTTGACCCATCACCATATGTGCACTTACGGGCAACCGTTTGAATCGCAGGAAATTAACTTCTTCTGCGCATGCATCGACAGATGAAGACGACCGTTCCTGCAATTCTGAAATCTAAGTGTTTTTGATAGAAAACTGAATGGGACGTTGTGAATGTGTGACTTAGGCGTTTATACAATTTATAAAGATAAGACACGCACGTTTTACTGCATTACATACCAGCTGACCCACAATAAAAACATCTCATCGCATTAGTGAAAGCAACACTGGAAAAATAAATAAAATTCCACTTATGCATCAAGAAGAATCAACTGTTCTTTTGTCTTTTATGTGCAATAACACAAACCTTTTGCTTACAGTGTAACATATAGGAAATTGCTCAAATTGGGGAAAAGTTGCAACAAAAATCTAGCATTTAGTGAACCTGCAATTTCATAAGAAGCAAAATGAGCAGATTACTTGTCTGAAGATAACCTAATAAATGAATAAAGGAAGTTGGTAGAGATCAGGAGACTAGACTCATTTAAAAAGCAGCTTGATGCAATGATAAGATGGTAATTCAGGTTGAGATTCGATGGGCTGAAAGGCCTTCTTCATCTAAACCGATCTTGCGAATTATGTTAGAAATTAGTTTCTAGCCCCCACCCCCCATCGACAACAAAATTATCTGGAAAGGGATTTAAGTAATCTGTTCAGTTTCAAAGAGGTGGTACAAAGCTCCCATTACACATCAGATAATTATGACTAAAACCCCTTATAAAATGTATTCAAATACCTATTCAAATGGGTACTCTTGTGGTAATTCAATTCTGAACACGTTTTACATTTTACATGTACAGTCAAGCCTGTTTTTAGCAACCACTCAGGGGACTGGACCAAACTGGCATTTCTGTAAGGGTGGCCTCTGAGTAAGATTTCTATGTCCAGGTCAGATTTAAACATTTTTTTTAATTCCGCAGGCCCGTTTGTAGACTCCTTCTAGACTCCTCGTGCAATTACCAATGCCACCTAACCAGTAAGGCAGGAAGCCATGGGCATCATGTGGACTGCTCAGCAATGAGCAGTCTACAGGACGCCCATAGCTGCTCTGGTAAACGCGCTAGGAGTCTAGCGGGGTCTACCCGCGGGCCAGCAGAAATTGGTAATGGATTACCGGTAAGTACACTTAAATTCACGTTGAAGTGGACACTGAAACATGTGGCCACCGGTTGCATTAAAGACGGTTGCTGAATAGAGGTGGTTTATTATGGAAAAAAATCAGTCAGGATTGTTCTAGGATGGTTGTTGACCACACAGGGTTACTGAGTAGAGGTGGTTGCTCTTAATAATAATAATAATAATCCTTGCATTTGATATAGCGCTTTTCACGTCGGGAGGACATCCCAAAGCGCTTCACAGAACACACTGTAAAGTGAATTGACTGTATATTTGTGGGCAAACGCGGCAGCCAATTGCGCACAGCAATGTCCCACAAACAGTCGTAGATTGAAAATGACCAATTTATTATTGTTTTTGGAGGGATTATTATTAGGGCTCTGTGTGGTGTAAGGAAACTTGCCCAAGGTTTCGCCCTCTGCCTGGAATTGAACTCAGGTCTCTCGCTTGCAAAGCGAGTGCTCTAACCACTGAGCTACAGGACTCCACCTTACGAGTTTGACAGTAAAATCCTTAGATTTTCAGATTTTATCCTTTTAGTTTTTAATATGAGCAATATCTACACATAAATTGGTTTACTTCACCAAAGGGAGCCTTTCAATCATTAATTCATTATGTGTTTAATTAGATCTCACATTTTCTAATAATTATTTGCTTTAGTTCAAAATTCTTAGTCTAATTTCATATGTAAAATTTTGTATATGCAATGAACATGTAATAGGATATTTAGGGGCCTTTTAGCACCTTTTGAGCTCCCATGATGCTTGTGGGTAGAAACATCTTCCCATACAGTTCAGGAGGTTGCAAGTTCAAAACTGCAGTCTGCTCTGAAATAGTGGACCAAAGTCATTAAGGCTGTTGGAACTGCACAATTGAACTGCAAATTTCACACCTATGTGTGCATAGGAATCTCAAAATGCAGTCGCACTTTTACCACAGTAATTTTGTTTAATAAAAAATTAGAAATCTTAGATGTAAATCTGTTCATCCAGGTGGCACATAGAACATATTGCTTTACTAATTAATATATCCAAACAAAATATAATACTTAACACCACCTTCTGCCACCTTGCAGTTTTGTAGTCCATTTACATTTAAAATTCAAATTTAATTCATGGTATCCATGTTGGTACTCCCCTTTTTACAGTTTCTATTCAATAAATGGCAGATTGAAAATACTGTAATAATAATAATCCTGGCATTTGATATAGTGCTTTTCACGTCTTCTAGACATTTCATAGTGCTTCACAGAATAGACTGTAAAGTGAATTGACTGTATATTTGTAGGCGAAATGCGGCAGCCAATTGCGCACAGCAGTGTCCCACAAACAGTCGTGGATTGAAATGACTAATTTATTTTTTTTGAGGGATTATTATCAGGAGTGTGGAGTAAGGAAACTTGCCCAAGGTTTCACCCTGCTGGGAATCGAACCCAGGTCTCTCACTTTACCGTAGAGTAAATGCACCAATCATCAATGATGAATTTGATTGGTTTGCAATACAATCAAGCCCACCAGGCTTACTATAAAGCTTTCCATTTTCATACAACATTTTTATAATTTGATTTATTTTAAAATGCAAAATCCATTTAAATTCAAACATTGGTGATCTTTAACTGAACACACAAGTTATACATGATGACTTCATTATCATGCAGTGCTATGGAGTAAAACAAGACAACACATTGTAAATGGCTCGGCAAAAAAAAACGCTAACGCCACTTCTGAGGCATAGGAAGCACTGAACACCAAAGGGGACTGCACTTTCAGTAACCGCAGGTCCTCAGGAGAATTAAGTGAATTTGCGCTTGAGCACAGTGCTTAATAATGAGTTAATACCTTTCTAGAGATATTCACTTAAATATACATCAATTGACTTAGATGAAATTCAGTTTGTCCTGCAGCTAAAACCAAGCATTTACACCATTAAAGTTCAAAATGAATTATAAATGATACACATCAACATACAAACTTCACACACTAAGAAGGTGGAGGCATTAACAATATTTTTTTAACATACAATACAAAGGAAACACGCCACAGAGATGCAAGGGATAATTGTACCTCAGGTGTACGGAGTAGAATTTCATCAAACAGGCTTCTAGGTTCCCTAAGCTGTCCATGAGTAGCAGGGTGTTAAGCAGAAAAAAACACAAAATACAGGATAACACTGATAAAGGGACACCAAATATAAACCATGAAATCAATACGATTTGTTAACTATCATTCACTTTTTGAAAATAACTAAAAAATCCAATATCCATCCATTGAATTTAATACAATGCTGTATACTTGCTTAATAATGGTTAAAAAAGTTTTTTTAATAAAATATTTCAAAGGCCAATCATTTGCACACAGAACAGTGACAAGACTGATTTCTAGTATTCAGAAAATGAAATAAGGAGAACAAAATACTGTAAGTTAGAGCTCTACAGCCTCGAAAATATGCAGGGGAGGAAGAAAGAGTAGTGAAGTGGGGCAATGTGGAGGAAGGCGGGTAATGTGGGTGAAGGCAGAAAGGGTGGTGGCACAGATGTGGGATTTAAGACAGTTGAGGATTGAACAAGACACCAAGGTTTCGAAGTGGCTTGGTGAGGTGGAGAGTAATCCATTTATAGTGATGCTGTCAACGCCCAGGAGCTAACGGGAGCCAAGCCAGAAAGCCTCGGTCTTGTTGACATTCAACTGTAGGAACCGTAGAGACTAAAGAATAGATACCTGTTATAGATTATCATTTTCTTAAAGTGTATGCAATTTGTGAAAGTCTTGTTCTTCAGAATACAGAGCTATATTTTCTAATCGTCTCTCAGGATTTCAAAAAAAAATGCTGGTTACCACCTTGATAGTCTCCATCCAGAAAAATAAATAATGTCTTACTCTTTGTGTAGCATCTGCGATCCCAGCTGCTACTGCTGCAGCTTTAGCTTTTTCGGCTTCATCGTATGTTGGTAGAGAAGTGGCTACACTGTACGGGGGTGGCACAGGCATAAGGTCACTCTGGAAGTCTATTCCTATTGAGGAGAAAATGAACAAAATAAAAAATAAGCAGACCTCCGCTCTCCCTCCACTCGTGCTTTGCATCCCTCGCCTGCCCCACCATTGGAAGGCAGCCCTTCAGCCACTCTGCGCCCACCCTCTGGAACTCCACCCTGCAGTCCCTCCACCTCAACCCCTCCCTTGCCTCAACCTGTATCAAGACCCTCCTCTTCGACTGTGCCTTTGATCACCTTCCTTCACCGCCTGCCCTTCACCCTCCCCAATTCCAACCCCCAGCTTGGGTCCAAACACTGACTGTCCAATGCCTTGGGATGTCCTCCCGATTTGAAAGATGCTATACAAATGTAATTTTGTTGCATTTTCAGCAATGCAAGCTATCTAATGATATAGCTGATATCCATATTAACAATAGAAAATTGTAAAAAGAATGTATAATGCCCAGTTCCAACTAAGCTCATGAGCTAGTGAAATAATAAATACTAAGCTTTTTTAAATTGTTGATCTTGATTGTTTTATTATAAAATAAATGATCTTCATTGTGTTGTATTTAAAGGTACAGCTGCAGGGAACGTTTCAGTCAATGAGTTATTTGCTTCCCTTCAAATTCTACCCAGTTAACACCACTATATTGGCAAAATTCTATCTTCCTCATGGAATGGGTAATGCTAACACCCATGACAATTTCCCTCCAACTCCATTGCAATCTCAGCCCCAGAGTAGGCCTTCTGTCGAAACCTTAACCAGCCTGTGAGCAATTAAATTGGACACTATGAAAAAAGGAAAGGTGATGCAGCAAAGAAACATTATCAACAATGTATTAAAATACCTTTCCATAATCTTACCTGTGGCTCCTGCAGCTGCTCCTGTAAGACTGCAATAAGGTGGTGGTGGTGCATCAATTTCAGGTGGTGGTGGCTGGGAAGACTCGGAGGGAAGATTTTGCTCCAATGTGGTAGAGGATTGTGGAGGATCATCCTCATTGTGCAACTAAAATAAAGAAAAAATGAATATGGCAAAGAAAATTCAGTTAATAAAAATATCAAAACTTGAGTTCTCCAAATCAAGATTTGCAATACAAATGTGGGAGACAACAGCTAAGGATCCAATACTGGAATTTCCCTTTTTAAGAGAGTACAATATTGCCATGTTCTCCATTTTAGCAAGAAATCAACCAAGGGGAATTTTATCAAACAGCTTTTTGACATCCATATGAACATTTAAATCTTTTTCTTCTTAGCTTCCTTCCCTGCATGCGCACACCCACCACACACCATCCAAAGGATACAATTGTTAATCATCACAACCTATGCCAACTACCCACAAATAATTAGAAGGATCATCTCTACTTCTGGTTTTGAATAAATCTATAATTTTGGCCACTTTCCAATTCACTGACATTACCTGTGATTCGAGAGGGCTTCTGAAAGTTTACACCAATGTATTCCCACTTTTCACAGAACTTTCTTTAATACTCTTGGGTGGCAATTGTCAAGATATGTTAATTGATTTGGTTTCAACCACCTCAATTTCTAAATTATAAATATTCCTTTTTATGTTTTTAAACAAACAGTGCTTCATCCTCACTGAACTCCACTATTCCCTGCACCCGAGGTATATCAATGTCACTATGAAAACCAAAGCGAAATATGAGTATGGGTTCCAACACGTGTGCACCCTCTATTTGTGGGTCATGTATCTCTCTCTACCTGCTTGTATTGTCTCCACTTTATTTTAAAACTCTTTTAGGTATTAAGGGAAATTTATAATTTAGGAAATATTTTTATTATTATTTTTCATTCCTTCCATAGTTCTATTTCATGCTCCTTTTTGTTATTCTAATTTGTTTTGGTTATCTTTTCATAATTCTTTCCAATCTTATTTTCACCACTTCCCTTAGCTTTAACTATTTTCTTCTTAACACAACCTCTAAGATCCTTTGCAAACCATGGAACATTATATTGCAATTTGTAAGCGATGAAATATTTAAAACTTCACAACTGAAAGAAATAAATGCTTCCAATCTGTTTTACATAAGCAAAACACATGAACCCAAGTCTCCAAATCCCCCAAAATAAACTAAAAATCTCCAGATACTGATCTTGAGTTGAAGCATATCCATCAGCAATACCACTGAACTGGTTGCTGTTTTAGAAAAGAAGCTATGACACTACAAGCATCAGCATAAAGAAATGCCAAGCAAAATGACTAATCAAAAGAGCAAATGAAGCACTGACCTTTAAATTGCACTTCTCGCAAACTCAATAATAATGACTGTGGTATTTTTAGATCTATTGCATTAAGATATGCTAACTAAAATATCTCCCAATAGCCTCCTCTATTTTGTTAAGAATGTAACATCCAACTGCTGCAGTAACATTTAATATTTAATTGAAATTAAAATGTCCAAATTACCTTTCGTTGGAAAAAGTAAAAATGTACTGCAAATCTAATTCAGTTCTAGAATCACAAATACACATGAAACATCACACCAAGGCAATAACTATATTGGATCATAACTTTTCATAGCACATGATATTTTCCTCCACTAATTTTCTCCTCTAGGCATTGCAACTGCAGTATAGTTCCAAAGATGTCAATTACACAGGGCACGATTCTTGATTAGGCTCTTCAAACATAGGAAAGCATTGCTTTTCAATTCAGTTCCATCCTCATCCGACTTTATGTATGCACTTTAGTTTAAAAAAAGGGACATAATCAAAAACAGGAAACTTGGCTGGCTTTCATCTCAGGGTTAGAGTACTACAGAAACACTCCAATTGCTGCCATAGTTAAGATCAGCTAGCTCGTAAATTCAAGGACTAAACCTGCGACTCTCATTGGATTCATCTGCTGAACATCTGAGAAGAAAATTGCTCTACTCCATTTTAAAATATACTCTAACATTTCAGAACAATAATATTGTGTGTGAATACTGTAAAGTGGTTTAAAGAAAACATTTAATTACTAATCATTGTTTTATTTTAAATGGTAACTTTTTCTATGCTATCCAAAATAAGATTAGCATGATATTTTAATCCACCTAATAATTGTTGCGGAAGAATGAGTTTGGCTCATACATTTGTGCTGTGATTTGCTCAAATCTTTGATAAAACTTTTTTTTAAAAAAGTGTATAAGGTCAGCCTAGGATATCACCGATCGAAATCTTCTTGCCAAAAGGGTCTGATGTATACAATATCAATCATCTCCATTGACTTTAATGGGAAAATAAAAATCAGACAAAGTTATAATCAAAATGGAGGTATTAAATCAGTTCATGATAGAATAACTGTTTTGAACTCAAGTGCCACTTTCTCTCTAGGGGATTGAATAATAGATAACAAATCACATTTTGAAGGTTGAAAAGATTTTTGTCTAAAACTTTCAGCTGGAGGGATCATTTTATTACTTTTAACTTAGGAAAGAATTGAATGTGCAAGCCAGAATTTTTTTAAATATGGACTTAGATATTTAAATATGGCTATATAGTCTGACATTTAGAACTCTGGTACGCTATGCACTTTCAAAACAGAAGAGTATTTCTCCCCCAACACACATATACATACACAAAAAAGACATTTAATTTTCTCCACTTTATATGATTGCCTCCAGTAATCTATTGCACTAGTTGGCCCAGATGATGGGTGGATAATTTGTTCGTGGCCCACCTAACACTTTAATCAACTACTATGAGAATGTAAGGTATTTAATCCGCTGAACTTTCCCTTCCTGCAAGAAAACAGCTAACCTATATTTAATCTCTCCCCTGATGGCACAGCTGATTTGGCAAAAGCATAAAGCAGGGAATCCCAGGCCATGTCCTACCACAGACTATGCCATCTGTTTACATATATAAGGGGAATCTGTTGATATATTATGAATCAAGCAGAACAAAATTTGTGAACATGTTTCAATGAAAAAATTTGAACAGGCTGTTTTTTTCCTAAATACGGTACATAATTTACAATCCATAAACTACTGCATAACTAATATAGAAGTAGGATATTAGAGAACTGTTTCTATCTGACATTCTAAATCAACAAATAGTACATCACAGATTTTCTTCAATATCTCACCTGGTTTGAAGGCAATACCCTTCTTCTGCTTGCTAGCGAAAAAGAACTTATTGCATTCATTCTGGAATGACTCAACTAACTCCTGCATTCACTGTCCTATTATCTTCAACTGAAAATATCAGAACTTCCTAAAAATGCACATATTTGAAATTATTTTTTAAAAAAAGTAAAATCGGAACAGGTACTTAATACTTAATCAAAATGAGGTAACAGAAAATGTTAACCGAATGCACACTCGCTAGAAAGATGCACCAGACTTACCCATTCTGGGGAGTATTAATAGTTTGGCAAGAGTTACAGTTTGGGTGGCTGAAAGTGTTTGTTGGGTACTGCTGGAGTTTAATCAGCTAAAATCTTGTAGGTTGCCATTGAGAGTACTCTTTGGCAATCTTCCTGTTGCTCTTCCAGCAACAACTAGCATTTATATAGTGCCCTCACGCAGGGTAGCATGCCAGAGTCCACAGCAAAGAACACTCAACCCAGTAGGGCTTTGGTTTACTACGCTAACAGAGGCTGAGTGAGAAGAAGCCCTGCTCCATATCGACCTGTTCAAGTGGATGTTAAAGATCCCATGACAGTGGTTGAAAAGAACATTTTCTCCGTGTCCTGGCCAATAATACTCCAGTTAGAAATGGCCCTTTGCTTCATGGCTGTTACATTCCCCTAAAAAATACAGTTACAGTTCACTTCACAGTAAATCCTGTGAGGCCTCCTGATGTGAAACATGCTATATCAAATGCAAGGATCGTTACTGCAATAAAACATAATCCTTGCATTTGCTATAGAGGCTTATCACGCGTCAAGATGTCTCAAAGCGATTTACAGGATAAACTGTTAGTGGATTTTGACTGTGTATTTTATGGGCAAAAACAAAACACCCAGAACGTCTCAAAGTTTCTGTGAAGCGCAGTGACCCCCCCGCCCCCCCCCACTCGTGTGCTTCCGAGTTGCCATGTTTTGCAGGGTAAGCGCCACAGCAAGAAACAGAGAGAGAGAGAGAGGCAAGTTGAGAGAGAGAGAGAGAGAGAGCAGAGATGTGATCTGTCAGTGCAGCAAAACCAGTCAGTCACTCAGCTCCTGACTGCACCTGTCATTCCTCTTGAAACCTAGTCCAGCTGCGTCACCCCTCCCCCCTGTCGCATGGCAAACATTTTCGGAATAACAACATCATAATAATAATAACCTTCTCCCACACACCCACACATACAAGCAGCCTGCGAGCAACCACCCTCACGCCATAGGGTGACACAGAAACAGGAGGGCTGAAGGAAAAAAAACCCTGTCGCACGCTCTTTCCTGTCAATCAATCACCTTCTCGACACCATATTTTTGCTCTCTCTCTCTCTCTCTATATATATATACATATATATTCCAAAAAAAAATCGCCATTTGTGTAAAACCAGAAAAACAAAAAAAATCTTTTTTTTTATGTAAACGGACAGATGTTTTGTCTCGTTCCCCCCCACCCCCCCAAAAAAAACATATAAACAATCGGCGGCGATTTGCGGACCGAGTCCCGGCCTCGGGCCTGTCCTGGCCCGACTCTCCCACCCGATGTAGAGGAAGCGGAGGAAAGCAAGTGATGTATGTACCCGCGCACACACACACACACACACACGGGTAACAGCTAAATAATAAAGCGTTGCTGAACTGTCAAAGGGAACCGAACAGACCAGACCGAAAGGGAGGGGGCGGGGGGGGGGGCAAAGGAGGAGGGAGAGAGCGATGGCCGCTCACTCACTCACCACTTGGTAGCGGCTGCAGGCCTGTTGCTGATGCTGCAGATGATGATGCTCCATGGCTGTCGCTCTCGGCCGTCCGTCCGTTACCCAGCAGCGCGCACGCGCGCTCTCTCTCTCTCTCGCGCGCTCTCTCTCTCTCTCGCGCGCTCTCTCGCGCCCCCTCCCTCAACCCCCTCCCTCCCAACTGCCCTTTGTCCCTGGAATCCGCCTTTGTCCGGTTCAAAAAATCAAACCCTAACGTCCCCGACACGCGGGCCGCTCGCGCTCTGCTCTGCTCTCCCCGCTTGGCTCCCGGGAGTCGCCCTGTCGCCTCCGCTCACATACAGGCAGTGCCGCAGCCTTCTGTGACCTCACCGGCTCCGAGTCTGCGCGTCGCCTCCGCCTCCTCGGGGAGTTTCACTCCCGCGCGCGCCCCCCCCCCCCCCCCCCCCTCTCTCTCTCTCTCTCTCTCTCTCTGCGCGTGCGCGTGCCGCGTCCGCTGACGTCATGTGTTTTCCTGAGGAGCCGTGGAACAAAATAAAATGTGCTGAGGCGAGCAGAGCAACAGGAGGGGTGCACTGGTAACTTTGCCCCCCCCTGTCAGCCCTGAGAGATTTCATTGCCCCTTTCTTCGTTTCCCAGACAAATGTCCAACCTGGACAAAATGACAACTCAAAGCGGGCTAAACTCTTTGACAATAGTAATAATAATAGCCTTGCATTTGAGAAAATGCGGCCAGTTTGCGCCCCGCGATGTCCCACGACCCACCGTTGAGTGAGGGAGTGACCAATTTTATTTGAGTGATTGTTGGTCAGGACACCAGGGAAACTCCCTTCTCTTTTCGAATAGTGCCATGGGGATCTTTCACGCTCAACTGACATTATCTCTTCGGAAGGACTGCACCTGTAAACACACAAACCCCTCCCAGCACTGTATTGGAGGTCATCTTAGACTATTTGAATTCAAGTCCCAACTTGGAGCTTGGACTTACAACCTTCTGACTCAGAGCCGAGAGTGTTAGTGATTCTGACAAAAATTGTTATTGTTATTGGTCCAGATTGCCTACAGCAGTCAGGTAGAGCACATCGACTCTCTTAAAATGAAGTACCCACACTGATGGCAATCAGTAACTTGCTGACGTGAAAGGTGTGCTATAAATGTAATTTTGTTGTTGTTGCTGCATTTAGAAACTTAAAGATTCTGAATTATAATATAATAATCTTGTATTTGATATAGTACCATATCACATCATTGGAATAACTCAAAGTGTTTCACAAGATTTACTGCAATGTGTAGTGATAGTATTTCTAGGTTGAATATTTTCTGCCTCCCCACCACCCCCTACCTGGTTGTATGAAGTGTCTGCTGTTCATGTGATGAAGCAATGATCACTCACAAATGGGGCTTGCTGGTGATAGCTATGTTCATAATTTGTGGCCAGCTCAGCAATGTTTCTACGAAGTATGCTGATTTGTTTGACTGATTGGGGATTTATCCTTTGACCAATTTGTCCCAACAGAAACAATAGACTGCATTATTGCATAAGCTAAAGTGAAAGCTGCTTGCAAGGAGGGAGGTGGGAGGTAACCAGTGTCTCCCTGGGGATCAAGTGGATCCAAGGAGATTTTCTGCAATAATCTACAGTAGACAAGAACAATAAAATTATATTAGTAAAGTGCCTTTCACGTCGCGAGGACGTCCCAAGGAGCTAGACAGTCAGTGTTTTGAGACCCGTGCTGGGGGTCAGAATCGGGGAGGGTGGGGGGGAAGGAGGGTGATCAAAGTTACAGTCAAAGAGGAAGGTCTTGAGATGGGTCTTGAAAGAGGCAATGGGGGTGAGGTGGAGGGACTGCGGGAGGGAATTCCAGAGGTTTGGGGCAGAGTAGCTGAAGGCCTGCCTGCTAAAGGTGGGGCAGGCAAGGCAGGGGACGTGAAGCAGGCCAGAGTCTGCCTAGCGGAGGAAGTGGGTAGGTTGGAAGGGGGTTAGGAGGTCGCAGAGGTAGGGGGATTAAAGCCACGGAGGGCTTTGAATGTGAGGACCAGAATCTTCAACTATCCTTTGTGTGACTGGAAGCCAGTGGAGGCGGGCGAGGATGGGGGTGGAAGGGTCACGGACTGCAGAGTTCTGGACGATTTGCGGCCTATGGAGGGAAGAGTAGGGGAGGCCGACAAGCAGGGAGTTTCCATAGTCAAGCCTGGAAGTTATGAATGTGTGTATGAGGGTTTCGGCGGCCTGCGTTGTGAGACAGTGGCAGAGCCGGGCGATGTTGGGGAGGTGGGAAAGGCAAAGCGGCTCATGGCATGGATGTGGGGTATAAAGGATAATTGAGGGTCAAACAAGACACCAAGGTTCTGGACTGGCTTAGTAAGATGGAGTGTGCAACCATGGACGGTGATGCTGTCAGCGCCTGAGGTGTGGAGGTGCTGATGGGAGCCAATCAGGAGGGCCTCGGTCTTGTTGACCCCCCCAACTTGGGTCCAAAACACTGATCGTCCAGCGCCTTGGGATGTCCTCCCGACGTAAAAGGCGCTGCACAAATAAAATTTTATTGTAATAATCTCTTCAAAAAAACAATAATTCGGTGACTCAATCCACACTGCTGTGCGCAATGGCTGCCGCGTATCGCCCACAAAAATATACAGCCAATCCACTTTGCAATACATTCAGTGAAGCGTTTTGAGACATCTCAAGGACGTGATGAGGCGCTGCATCTAATTGAAGGATTATTGCTGAACGTGACCTCCTCCCGCGGGGTGAGAGCCCAGGCCGACGGGACAGACATCGCGAGGTTTGGAGGCGGCCCGCGAGTTGGCGACGGCCATTTTGTGAGGTGAAGAGACGAAGGTGGAGGAGAGCGGCTCCTCTCGAGTCCCGGCTCGGCAGCCGTCCTGTCCCACGTCGCCGGCCCTTTTAATTATTTTAACACGTTTTAATAAATTCCCCGCGGCGAGGAGGGGGGCTGCCGCGCTTCGAGCCACCGTCGCCGGCTTTGGGGGCCCTCACAGTTTCTTGTCGGCTGAGACCGCTCCTGACTAAACCCCAGCTCGGCCCCGGGCTCTGCCTCGCTCTCTGTCCGCTCCTTCCCTCCACACCCCCCTTCCCCGCCGCTGCCTGTCCACTGCCGGGAGCGGGCTGGGCTGGGCTGGGCCGGTCCCGGGCTCGGCGCTGCTCTCACGATGATGATCGAAAACCTGGAGGCGCTCAAGTCGTGGCTCAGCAAGACCCTGGAGCCCATGTGAGTAGCGGCCATGGGCTGTTTACAGTCGCTTCTCCGGCAGCGCACCGGGGACAGGAGAGGGAGGTGTCCAGGGCACAGCAGCCGGTGTGTGTGCTTGAACACGCACTCAAGACACGCGTGTAATCTGATTCTAACACTCCACTACCACCCCCACCGCTAAGTGTTTCCACCTCAATGCACTGCAGCCATACGCAAATGTTACTATATATAAACACATGGTTTCTATTTTTTTTCCAAAAGCTCGCGTCTCAGTGAACAGAAACGCGGTTGTGTGTGAGTTCCATATGCTCGAGCAGTGGAGACGGAGCAAGTTTAGTATTTTAATTGTATAATCGAAACTTGTTTTTTTTTGGAAGTGGGGGGGTGGGCAAAAGAGTTTGCATTTTGAATATATGGAGTGTTACCCTCCGTTTTTTTTGTTCCAAAACTGCAACAAGAGATAAGTCAGTTGCCTGGTTTGATGCTCGAACGCATGGTCCAAAACACATTGTGTGTATCTCAGGATTAAGGTTCGAATTAATTTAGTTTTGTAACACAGAAATTAAATTGAATCATAATCTGGTGTATATATGAGTTGTTGGAATTATAGCAGTTATTTTAACTGTTTGTACATTATATATTGATGTAAACCGTTTATCTTGTGCATATGCTCGCCATAAAATAAAAGTAGATTTCAATAAACCATCAATGTTGATGGATCTATGGAGACATCTACTTACTCTTTTAGTGTTTCAATTAGTGCAGTTTTAAAAGAGTAATATGGTATAAATACAGAAGTCACTGGGAACACGCAGCAGGTCAGGTAGCATCCATGGAGAGAGAAAAATGAGTTAACATTTCAGGTCTCTGACCTTTCGTCAGAACCTTTTAAAGGTTCTAAGATCTTTTGTCTTCCTTTTAAAAGAGTAATACTTGTTCAAAGATCAATAACTATTACTACTATTAACACATCCATTTAAATAAATACAAACACAATCCATTCCATTTGGGTACCAGCATGGCTCAGTTGATAGTACTCTTGCCTCTGAGTCAAGGTTGGGGGTTCAAGATCCACATCGGGACTTTTAACTCATAGTCTAGGCTGAGCGCTTTAAATTCTCTTGCATGCAACCCCACACAAAGGCACTGTATAAATTACAAATTATGTTTATTTTCATTCCATTGCAGTGCTGTGGATATGCTGCATTGTCAGGTGCCATCCTTTGGATGAGATGTTAAACCAAGGTCCCTTCTTTCTGTTCAGGTGCAAGTAAAAAAAATCCCATGGCACTATTTGAAAAGAAAAAATAATTGCTCCTGGTGTTCTGGCCATCAATCCTCCAAAACAAAAAAAGACATTAATTTCATGGATGTTTGTGGGACATTGATATACACAAATTGATTGCTGCGTTCATCAACAAAATATGCAATCCCTGCACTTTATAATCTATCTTGTGAAGATCATTGAGTCGTCCTCCTGATGCGAAAGGTGCAATATCAAATGCAAGATTATTCTGTCTCATTTACCTGCTTTGTCCCCATACCCCTGAAAATAATTCCTTTTGAGATTTCTATCTAGTTCCCTATTGAAAGTTAATATTATAATCCTTTCATTTGATATAGTGGATTATGTCATTGTAAGGTCTCAAAGTGCTTCACAGGATATATTTTAGAATGGTGTGACTGGGTGTATTTTGTGGGTGTGCATGGCAGCTAATATGAGTACAGCCATGTCTGAGAAACAACCATAAAATGAGTGATCAATTTTATTTGGGGAGATTGTTTGCTCGGGAACTGGGAGAAACTTTTTTGATTGGTATGATGGGATATGAATATGAATCCTGCTTCGATCACTGCACCCAGTGTGAAACAAATTCCTCTAAATTTCCCAGTTTGATAACTATCTTCAATTGATGTCATTCTAAATATTTGACCTTTTATACTAACAGTGATTGAGGTAGGATTCCTATTCATATTTCATTCTTTGTCAAACCAAGGTCCATCTGCCTGTCTAGATGGAAGTTAAAGAACCCTATTCAAAAAGATTCTTCCAGTATCTAGCCAACAATTTCCTTCAAGATAAAATTTTAGCAGTGGGGCAATGAATGTAAATACATGTCAGTATTCCCAGGGAAACATCACATCATAGTAATGAAAATGTTGGATGTGGGTCAATAATAACTCACCATATAAAACACATTTAATGCTATATAGAAAATAATTAAAAATATTTAAATTTTAACTTGCCTAAGCAAGTAATTTGTGCAAGCAAGTGAAATGAAAGCTGTACCAAGCATTCACACACAAAATGCAATGCACAGTCATTGCATTTTAGAATATATCCTGTGAAACACTTTGGGACATACTCCTGATGTGAAAGGCGCTATACCAAACGCATGGAATATTATTATTACATGATGATAGGGAAGAACAGTGCACTAAATGTCGATAATGTGTAAGGAGGAATATCCTAAAAAGGAAACTAAGATTTAGTGCTGGAAGCTATTCTGTGCTTGTTTGCTGCTCTAAATAACTCAATAACTCTTAATTACCTAATTCTAAATTGGCATTAGTTATAAAAACTGTTTCAGGTGAAGGTTCTGGATACCTGTTAGTATAAATTGGCAACGGAACTAAAATATCTGCTAGAAAACTAGGAGCAGGCCATTCAACCACACATGTCTGCAGTCTCTCTTCCCAACCATGTCTGCAGTCTGTCTATGATTACAGTGGTGAGACATCACCTTGTTGACGAGTATCAACAAGATAATAATAATCCCTCCAAAAAAACCAAAAAACAATAATAAAAAAAAATTGGTCATTTTCAATCTACGACTGTTTGTGGGACATTGCTGTGCGCAATTGGCTGCTGCGTTCGCCCACAAATATACAGTAAATTCACTTTACAGTGTGTTCTATGAAGCGCTTTGGGACGTCTTCCCGACGTGAAAAGCGCTATATCAAATGCAAGGATTATTATTATTATTGTACTGTAGTTGTATTGCTCCTTTCACGGCAGGAGGATGTGGCAAGGCACGGGACAGTCGAGGATCTTCACGCATTGTTATGCTTTCTGGTTCCTGAGTTAATGCTTTAACCATGATTACATCAAATTCAGCAATTTCAAAAAGGAATGGTAACTGAATTTACAATCAGTATAGGAACTCTGCTCCAAAACTAGATTAATTCAGAGGAAGTTCCCACAAAGTTCATTTATCTATAGAAATATCGAGGTCATTCAACTCATTGATCTTGTTCCACCAGCTTATTAGATCTTTGCAGATCTTTTAATATGCATACCACAACGTATAGAACTAACTTTTGTCCTACTCACAGGAATGTTTTCAAAAGCTGCTCATCGTGTCCTGTAGATAATTTATTCATTTTTCTCTATCCTCTTAATGCCATTCTCAAATTGATACACATACAAGTTTGTGGTAATATCAAGCGCTCTGAGATGCTACCTTGTGAGGGACGCTATATAAATGCACGTTGTTGTTTTGAATAAATCGATTTATGCAGCCTCAATTGCATCTGTTGGGGAAACTGTTCCACATAACTGCTCTTCTATGAAGGGAGTATTCTTGTGTTGTACTCAACACAGGTTATGATTTGACTCTAATCTTTTCATGTGTATGCTTTTACCTGCTAAGCCTAGAGAGAAATTTCACCTAGAGAGAAATTGTAAAAGCCTATATGTGGTGTAAAGTTACAGATTTTTGTTTTAGAACTGTTTAAATGTAGCTTAGGTTTTTTTTTGAATTCCTTTAACATTAAACATGCAGCTTTGTGTGCTGCTCCTATGGTAGTAGGTTTAATTTTAAAGTTTGAAATTTGAAACATTCAGACTTTTTGACTTGTAATTTCTTTTATGATATTTGTTAATGTTTAACACTGTTTGATTTACAAGTTGTCCAGGTGGAAGACTGTCCAGTCTCTATGTGCTTTCCCTTAGAATTACTTCTAATGGAAGTTAACTTATAATCTTAATGTTCAATTCATTGTGATTTATGTTGAATATAATTTCACTCTTAAAACATTTAAATCTGATTTCCATATGTTTCTGTTACCTTTACAGATGTGATGCTGACCCATCTGCCCTTGCTAAATATGTTGTTGCTTTGGTTAAGAAAGATAAAACTGAGAAGGAATTGAAAGCATTGTGTGTTGACCAATTGGATGTCTTTCTTCAAAAAGGTAGGGTAATTTTATTGGATAATTAGGATTGGAGCTGTTACGAGTGCTACATCTGTACGCTGTAACTAAAGCTAACCAAGAATGTACAACAAATCTTGCCTCTAACTATTTAAGTCAAATTGTTGGGAAGGATTGGTCAGACAAAATTTAATTGTTGGTTTTGATTTGGACAGTCTTAGGCTTTGGACCTGTCTATGACACTAACTGGAGGGGCTCATAATTTGAATGGTGAGAAGTGATCACATAGATTCAGTGGCAATGCCACGTTCCAGATCCTTGACGAGACTGGTCATGTTGCAGGTAGTTCAGTAGCTTGAGAACATACAGGGTTTAAGAGTAGCCTATGTTGAGTTTTTAATTGTTTAATGAAAAATGTTTGAGAGTAAGCTCCAAATCTACCTAATGATTTTGTTTAAAGAAGCCAATTGTTATTGTTAATTGTGATAAAATATTGTTATGGGTGTATTCTATTGCAATAATACTGTTTCTATTTACAGACACCCATACTTTTGTAGAAAAGCTTTTTGAAGCTATTAATACAAAGAGTTACCTACCTCAACTTGAACAATTGTCATCTGTGAATATAAAACTTGAGCTTCCACAGCGACAAGAAAGAGAGGACAAAAAAGAAGAGGTATGTTTAAGGGCAGATGTTTTAAAATGGTTTTGAAGTTCTGAAATGATTTAATTTAAAAAAAAATTCTGATATTGATCTTTTTTACTCCTGCATTTTTTTGTAATTTCAAAAACAGGGAAGTAAAGATGATGATGAACGGGATAAAAAGTTTTCAAGAAGGCTGAATCACAGCCCACAACAGTCAGGATCCCGGTATCGAGATAATCGGTAAATGTTCAGTTTCTCAATTTAATCTGTAATAATAGACGTTTGTAAATCTCTTAAAGCATTTTGCAGCCATGTGGTTTGTAATTTCTGTTATTGACCTAGTTTATCATCCTGCTGATTTTTTTAAAAAAGTGTCATCTAACTCGATATTATGTTGTCATTATCTTCATCACTTGCTTTCAAAAACAGATACACAAACCAATAGTCTCCTTTTTCCTTTGCGTTTATTTTACCCAAAGACTTTTATAATTTACTTTCTACATGACAAGAAATCCTATGAGATGACTGCACCACCGTAATCTTGATGGGAAAAAAATTGTTTGGATTGCTGGCAATGTAACTGTTGGAAATGTACGGCAGGGATTCTCTGTTTCCAAGCTTATCGCTTTAAAAATTGATTGGTACAAGCATGTGAATGTTTATTTCGCTCCACATCAAAAAGTGGATAGCTGGTATGTACTCTATTTTCCCGTTAAACATAATCCTGTTACTGTGACAAAAAACTTTGGCAGTGTGTACAAGTTGAAAGAAAACTGAGGAAACGATTTTGAGAATCATAGACCGCTTTTCGACTTGTGAAAGATATCTGTTTAGGTGGCCTTTCAGCTCAAACCTAACTAAATTATCTGGTAGGATGGAAAAGGGAACTTTTAATTGCACTCTAACCTCTAAATATTCAGACCTACGAGGAATCCATCTCCCATACATGAGAATGTGTCCAGAGATCTTGATATTTACAAAATGAAAAGCTACATGCTACACCCCCAACACATATTGTCAGTATTTGTTGTTGGTTTTATTCCCAATCTGCTGATGGTCATCAGAAGCTGCGAAATAGGATCCAGACTCATGTTATGCTACACAAAACTAAACATTTAACTGCTCCCATTGATAGAACCACGGGCTTGCTATATTTAACTCAACTTCATATTCCTGCCTATATCATTCACATCACATGGATCGTACGATTCTTACATCTTTACTCAGTTAAACAATAAAACATCAGAACACTGTTTGTTCTTCGTGATACTAAAGTTGGTAGTTAGCACGGTTTATAAGTCAACATAGAACTTGTAGCATTTGTTCATAAGTAATGGGAGTAGAGGTGAACTTGCCAACCAGGCAGGTGGAAACAATTTCTCTAGGCATTTTGAAATGATAAAATTCCTCAGCCACTTGCAAACCCTGGAGAACATTTCACTGCCCCTATTCCAAACATTACCTTGGCAGTGCAAAACACTACTTCTTTTAATTTAACTTTGTTTAGTAATTGATCTTATGACTCCCCTTCTTTCAAATTGAACTGAGGTCCGTTCTGCCTGTTCAGGTGGACGTTAAACATCCCATGTCACTATTGGGAAAAGAAAAGGGAATTCCTCCTGGAATCGTGGTCACCAACCCCAGATAAATGAATTTGTTATTCACTTCACGTCTGTCAGTAGGCCATTGCCGTACATAAATTAGTTGCCGGGGTTGCCTGCCAATATAATAGAGTTTACCTTCATATAGCAATCTTCCACGTTGAGAGGATGTCTTAAAGGGCTGGCTGGGGGATGGGGTAAGATGAATGAATTATACAGTCAGAGATGTGTCTTGAGCTAGGTTTGAACTTGTTCTGTGTATTAAATGTTAATACACAAAACCCACTTTGGGACGTGGAACTCACATACTTTAAGCTAAGGTGGGCTAACTGGCAGCCCGTGGGCCAGTTACATCCCGGCCCTCCACCCCCCTCCGTTTCATCTGGCCCACCCGGTCCCTCCACAATCCGTAAATGTTATGTTTCTGGAACAGGAACACAGATATTGCTTATGCGGCCTGAGGGTGTTTCTTAAATAGGGCATTCGGCCCTCAGCAGCTAAAAGTTTGTACCATCCTGGTTTAAGCTGACACTCCAACACAGTGCTGGGTGGGTGTTGCAATGTCGGAGGTGCCATCCTTTAGATGAGACGTCAAAACAAGGTCCTGTCTGCTTATTCAGATACAATACAAAGTTACATTTGTAAAGCGCCTTTCACGTCGAGTGGACATCCGAAGGCACTGAACAGTCGGGGATTAGGACCCAAGTGGGGTTGGGGGAGAGATTGGGATCAGAGAGGGGGCCGAAGGCACGGTCAAAGAGGAGGATCTTGAGGAGCGGCTTGAACGAGGCAAGGGAGGGAGCAAGGCAAATGGAATATGGGATGGAGTTCCGGGGCAGAGAGGCTGAAAGCCCGACCGCCGATGGTGGGGTGAGCCAGGCAGAGGACGTGGAGCAGGCCGGAGTCTGCTAAGTGGAGGGAGGGGACAGATTGAAAGGGGTTAGCCGGTTGGAGAGGTAGGAGGGAGCAAGGCCGTGGAGGGAATTTTGAACTGGATGTTAAGGATCCCGTTGCACTATTCGAAAAGAGAAATAAGTTTTTCCCAGTATCCTCGTTACGTGGCTGTATGTGGGACATTGCCTACAAATAAGTAGTCACTCCATTTCACAGTAAATCCTGTGAAGTGGTTTGAGAAGTCCTTCTGATGTGATAAGGTGCTATATCCAATGTAAGGAATATTATTATAGCATAAATGTTTGGGGATCAATCCTGATACAGTAGTACTCGCCAAAAAGTCCAAAATGCATGCAGAAATCCAGCTGACTCCAATTGTTTCATTGAGCTTCAAATTATGCTGGTCGGTAGAGCTTGGTAGGTTTCTTCAAACGTGCAGTGACCTCATTGATCAGGTAAAGGGTTATGTTACAGAAGTGCTGACAGGTGATTGTGCCCCATTGCAAGGCTGGTTGGGATTTTTTAGACCTCCGACTGAGGTGTTATTATGGTTCTATATTGTTCGGATAAAATTGGTCATTGTTTGTGGGTTATTGCTGGGTGTAACTTGCCTGCCATGGTTGCCTACAAAATACATAACCACTGTGCTCCATGGTTAAAATCCTGTGCAGTGCTTTGAAACGTTTTTAAGAAGCGTCAAGATGAAATATCAAATGCCAAGGATTTTTTAAAATTCTGTCTTGCCCTTTTCAAGAATCAACTAAACCCAAAAATTGAAAGCTATAGAATCGGTAATATTAGATAGAAAAAAGTAAAATAGAGAAGTGAACACAGATCATGCAGAAGTAAAAAAAAAAGTAATGTGCTATGTTTGTAAGATTTAGGATTAATATGATCGTAATAACTGTACTCTTAGCACTTGAACACTTTTCTTACAATAAGTTGTAGTGGCTTACAAAGGGCGCTGAGAATTTTGTGGACCAGTACTTTGGATGTCCAGAGATTTTACTTTGTATCCTATGACTTATCTATTAGCATGTGTCCAATTTACAATTCCACAATTCAAAGCTGAAGCTAACAGGATAGGTTTGCTAAAATGTAACCTTTAATGGTCAAGTTTCAGAGAAGCAATTGGTTCACTTGTCATCCATATTTCCTTGAAGGAAAATCGGCCAAGAAATATCCAGAATAGATAGAAGGCTGATTATGCTGTTTGGCAAGGAAGGCATAGGGTAATACTACAGATTCTAGAACATTTTAGAGGTTTAGTCTGTCAATACAGGAATATGCATATTTGATTGTTTATTTGTTCATAAGCATATTATTGGTGATTTTAGTGAATCAGAAGAATTCCCTGATTATTCAGCTTGCTTGTGGTAAAGAGATGATGAAAAGTTTAGGAAGGTATTAGCTTGGCTATTAAAATGTAAAAAATTATTTTAGTAATTTTTGTCAAGTGGAGTGACTTTTGCAGTCAAATGTGAAAACATTTGTGCGCACCAAAATTCTGCAAAAACAGCCATGAAGCTAATACCAATTTATTTGGATAATTGCTGGTTAATGTACCAGGAGAATCTCCGGTTTCAAATAATTATGGGTTCTTTAATATCCACCTGAATAGGCTGAGAAGACCTCAGTTTAATGCCCAATCCTAACAATGGCAGCTCCCAACAGTGTTCCTCATAACTGTAATGGTGTGTTAGTCAAGACCAGAGGTTCTCTTAAAACATGGGGAGCTTTCATTGGGAGGCACTGGCTGTGAGTGCACATGCACTGACCTTTCTCAAGGTTAATGTGGGAACCGTTTTCACGAGGCTGGAGCACAGACAGCCCAGACAATTCCTGCGCTCACCGGTAATTTTAAAAAAATGAGATTTTGGAAGATATGGGATAAAAATCTGTTAGAAAAATAGATAGCTTTGTGACAAAGGGAGAAAGACATACTGGTCGGTACCTCACAAACAGCAGAGGTTCCAACAAATCACAGAAAAATATGATGCTTATTTAAAACATGGAGCAGGTCCAGCAATGCGCCACAACCTCATTGTGTCACAATTCGTGAAATTCTGGCAAATGACAGGATGTGGATCTGTAAGTGTTGTCATTAAACTATGGGAGGCATAAGTTTTGTTTTCCTTAGCTAAGGGATGCTCACTATGACAATGTTTGAGAACCCGTGGTCTAGATTGATGCAAGTATTTATCAATCCATAAAAGTTAAGTTGATTTCAGAAGGGAAGGAAAGCAAAGAGTGCATATTGATCAGAATTTAATTGATTCTTAAAAGTAGAAACCTTTAAAATTATTGTATTCTGTAACTATGAATTACTGTTCCGTAAACAAAACGCAAAATACTAAGTATACTAATACAGCAATTCTGAACAATTACAGTTCAGTAATTAATTAACTGTGACGATCTGCCCCAAGAATAGGAAAGCAGGGTTTTTCTGGGAAACCAAACTGTTGCTGATGCATGCCTAATAAAGGAAGAGCAGAGCTATAACAATTTAGTTGCGGAATCATTGATTGAGGGCTGTCTGCAGTACTCCAGAGGGTTATTGATGATTGAATAGCCTGTTTTTCCCAATCTTCCCACTGAGCTCCTGTTTACCTTGTATGCTATTGATGGGATGGTACCATTGGGACAAGCAGTGAGACAAGCTTTTGGATCAAGAGAGGCATTGCTTCATGGCTGATTCTGTTATCCATATGCATGTGCTTTCTAGTTGGGTTACGAGATACTGATTAAGAGTAAGAAACCATTTTTTCCCATCCTGCTTGAAAGTTCAATGTGATAATGCAAGTGTGTTGATTCAGTATGTAATGTAAAATATTAATGGTGAACGCTTTTTTGAAGCACAACTGCTCCATTGTTATTCAGGAAGATGTGTTCATTTTTAAGTCCTGGATAGAAACATTTTTTCAACTAATTTGGAACAGTGCCTCAATACTATAACACTATTAGTTAAGATCACAGAGGAGTGAGATAATTACTGTTTAGTAATGCTAGTTTCTGGTAACTTTAGAAACCGTGATGACAGAAAGAAAGATGATCGCTCTCGTAAAAGGGAGTACGACCGGTATCCTCCAAGGAGAGATTCGTACAGGGACAGATACAACCGAAGAAGAGGAAGAAGCCGAAGCTACAGCAGGAGTCGGAGTCGCAGTTGGAGTAAAGAAAGAAACAGGGACAGAAGCAGGAGTAGAAGTAGAGGTAGTTGTATATAAAATCTTGGTGAAGTTTCAGTTTTATATTTTAAAAGATTAGCAATTCAACTTTATTTTGAAATATATTCCTGAATACTCCAGTGTTAAGATTTACAGTAACCTTGCTCTCGAGTATTCAGTTAACAAAATGATCACTGAGAGGGGGGAAGGAGGCCTGCCACTGTGGTCTCAGTATCTGGATCCTGTTGGAGTTCAGTCCATACTGATGGGACCAGTGTCTGCTTGTTGACAGTGCTTTATAAAATGGATTTGTGCAGTGTCAACCCTGATCTTAGTTCAGTTTGATACAGATTTGGACTTAAGTTGACTGAATTATGTGCTGTAATAACATCTGAAGACCTTGCCTTTATCTTTATTTTTTTAAATAACTATAAACTCCCCAAACTGACATAATCCAGACATTCTGTGTTGATGGTGGAATGGAAATAGATTAGTGTAAATACCGATGTTGTGATTCTACATCAGTCTTAGATGCTCAGAAGGCAGTAGCGCCAATCTGGATTTCAAATCACCCAGTTTGCAGTGAACTTTAAAAAAGTCACTTCAGGGAAATTGGTCAGGCATATAACCACGTTCTTAACTTGGGATCTTCAGTTTGAATTTAGCCTAAATTGATGTTATATGTCTTTAAGGATCCTATATGACATTCATTTGAGCTAGTAAAATAGCTATTTGATTCATCAATTAGTGATTATGTTTCGCAAAGGGAGAAGGTCCCCTTGGTGCTGAGATGGGCAAGTTTCCTTACTCCACACGCCTAATAATAATCCCTCCAAAACAATAATAAATTGGTCATTTTCAATCTACGACTGTTTGTGGGACATTGCTGTGCGCAATTGGCTGCCGCATTCACCCACAAATATACAGTCAATTCACTTTACAGTGTGTTCTGTGAGCGCTTTGGGACATCCTCCCGACGTGAAAAGCACCTCATCAAATGCAAGGATTATTATTATTATTAAGGTGATAACCTGGCTGGCATCGGAATGTCAGAAACGAGTCAATTCTCTGTGGCAGTTTCGGTAGTCTGGTTCCCAAGCCAGGTGGGTCCGCAGTACTCCAGGACACTGCTGGTGGCAGACAAGCCAGACTGGCCCATCAGCATTCTTCAGCTTGGATTTAAAACTAAAGAAGGCTTTTACATTTAAACAAAAGTGTATAGCTATCCTGAAGGCCTAATGAGTAAAACAATGATTAAAGGTTCAAAACATTTCATGTTGGGTTAGCTAATCTCAACCTGGGCAATCAAATGTAACTTTTTTTAAAAAAATTAGCAATGGAAAGTATTCTTTTGAGTTATTCATTCATCGTGTATTCAACATTTATTCACCAAAATTACCTACTTGTCACCACTGGTTGCACAAGTTGCATTTTTGTTGCATTCTGAACATTAACTGCCCTTTCCCCCTCAATGACAATTTCACTTTTTTTCTTCTATTTTGAGATGAGGTACTCTGGGCCTGGAACAATAGAGTGCTCCTTTGCCTAATTTCCAACTGGTTTACGTTCTGCATTAAGTTAAATTTTACTTGGTGGGCAATTTATTCAGGCTGCTTTTGCATTCATATTTCTATTTGAAGCATAATAGCCAAAATTCCCAAACCTCTAGGGATGTCACCTCATTAACATAGGCAAAAGATGAGTCTATTGCCCTCTCTTTATAGTGAGTTCCACTGTAATGCTCTTCATTAGGAAACTGTTTAGTGCTGTTTAGTCCATATGTTAAATATGGAATTTACAATTTTTGTACCTGAAACACTGTAAGCAAAGATCTTGTTAATTGCTTTCATTAAAACAATTAACAAATGGAGTTCTGTAGCTCAGTGGTTGGAGCACTCACCTCGCAAGCGAGAGACCTGGGTTTGATTCCTGGCAGGGCAAAACCTTGAGCAAGTTCTCTTACACCATACGCCTGATAGTAATCACTCAAGAAAAAAAACAATAATAAATTGGTCACTTCAATCCACGACTGTTTGTGGGACATTGTTGTGTACAATTGGCTGCTGCGTTTCGCCCACAGATATACAGTCAATTCGTTTTACAGTATATTCGGTGAAGCGCTTTGAGACATTTAAAAGACGTGAAAAGCACTATATCAAATGAAAGTATTATTAAAAAACACAATTTAACTTAAGCCCTTTCAGATTTTCATGGATTATTTTTGCTTAAAGATCCTATACCTTTAACTTGTGAAGGCATCCAGCGTGTCTATAAGAAGGACTTCATTTAAATTGTCACAACTTGTGACATTCTATCTAAATGAAGCTTTGAAAATTTAAAATTCATCAAAATTATGCATAATAATGGTAAATTGATACCTTTTGTTCTTAGAGAGAGATTCAGTGAAGTTGAAGTTTGACCTGGACAGAACAGAATCATCAGAAAGCAACTTCGCTCCTAATACTCCTGTATCAAACTTAGCATCTGGACATTATCCTGTTCCTACTCTGAGTAGTGCAATCACAGTTATAGCACCAGCTCATCATGGTAACACCACTACTGAAAACTGGACAGAATATCATGAAGAGCAGTTGGACCACAATGCCTATGTAAGAGCTCCTCCTCCAAAGAAGCGGTGTAGAGACTATGATGGTAAGCACAACTTAAATTCCATGCACCATAATTTACCCATTTAAAAACAATGTTCCACAAGAGTGTTCTTTAAAACCTTGTCCTGAGCTTCCTGGTCAGATGGGATAGCACACTTGTTTCCCTGTACACAGTAAAGCTGCAATGGGTGATTTTTTNAATGTAAATTTCAGATCAGTAGTAATATATTGAAAATGCTTTAAAACCAGCTTTTAACTAATCAGAGGCTTTCCATTTGCTCTTTAGGGCTTTTAAAGCTGATGATTGGAAGACGAGGGGCACCTGTCTCAATAGTATCTGTATCTGGGGGTTATGTTGGGCACCATTGTTTTCTTGGACTCTCCTCTCTTCCTTAAGTATGTGGTTATGAGATGTATATCCAGTTATCCTATGAAGTCCTGTAGTGTATTGGTTAGAACATTTGACTCGCAAACGAGAGAACCCAGGATCAATTCCTGAGTGGGGCGAAACCATAGCCAAGTTTCCTTACTCCACACACTTGTTTACCTTGCAGTAAACCGGTTGTTACTCGATTGGCAGTTCATTTTCCAGGTGTAATAATCCCTTCAAATTAAAAAAAAAAATTTGATTAATCAATCCACGACTGTTTCTGGGACACTGCTATGTGCAAATGGCTGCCGCGTTTTGCCCACAAAATATACAGTCAATTCACTTTACAGTATATTCTATGAAGCTCTTTTAGGTGGGATTTGAAGTTGGGGAGGGAGTGGGCAAAGTGTAGGGATTGAAGGAGAGAGTTCCAGAGTTTCGGGGAGCAGTGGCTGAAGGCACGGCCACCAATGGTGGAACGGAGGGCATGAGGGACAGACAGGAGGCTAGAGCCAGCCAAGTGGAAGCAGTTGGTGGAGGAGTGGTGGGGGGGCAGGTAAGCAGATCGGATAGGTAGGGAGTTGCAGGCTGTCACAAGTAGCTGCAGGCTGTCAATCACCTCAGCACCGTCTAATGGGAACGGCAATGGAAGGGAGGAATTGCTATTAAATATTTTTATAGGGCATCGGTGGAGCACCTCTGCTGACCAGGAATATTATTTTGGTTAATCTCAAGAGTCTCTAAACCAGACCAAATGGATGCCCCCAATGTGTCCTGGTTAACAGGCTTCCACTGTAGTTTTAACATTTATATTTGTACTTTAGGATTCATGTTCAGAGTAAACATTTTGCATCTGACTATCCTTAATGCTGTAATAGGGTTTTTAGGATCTTAGAACTTGAACTGAAAGCTTTAAAAATCTGATTCAGGGGAATGGAATGTCTCTGGGACTATGGTTAAGATGTCTATTTATACTGTACATTTGAAATATTATCTCAGCATTTGTACTTGTGTTCTTCTCATATGTTGGTTCCCTTTGTTTAAACTGGTGTATTTTGCTTTGCCTTTTGTTTTACAGAAAAGGGCTTCTGTATGAGAGGTGATATGTGTCCATTTGATCATGGAAGTGATCCAGTTGTGGTAGAGGATGTGAATCTTCCAGGCATACTGCCATTCCCCTCACAGCCTCCAGTAGTTGAGGGACCGAATCCTCCTGTTCTTCCTCCTCCACCACCCATACTAACTCCTCCACCTGTAAACCTCAGGCCTCCAGTGCCTCCACCTGGACCACTGCCCCCCAGCCTGCCTCCCGTTGCAGGTAGAGTACAGCCTTTCAGTAAAACTGCTTAAGTATTAACTATAATTCTGAACATGGGTTCATTGAATTCAGGGTTCATTGACTCTTAAACTACTGACTGGTGATGTGATTGTGAGCTTTCAAGGTCTGAGGACTGGTCTAAAGCTGTAACGTGTATATATTCTGGAAGCAGTAGTATATGGTCCTCGCAAGCAAGATTTAAGAAAATGTTTAAAATTATCTGATCCTAACGCAGGGGAAAATATACCATTGGTAAAAGGAAATCTATTGAAGATTAGTAACTTATTGCTATTACAAATTCTAGTCTTCACATTTTGTGTAAACAGAATAATAAACTAATTGATTTGAACAGAATCATGTAACGCGAAATCCATAGAAGTTGTTGTGACATGTGACAAGTGACATTAGAAGTTGCTGAATGCTTAATGCAAAATATCTTAACATTGATGTTTAATTTGCAAACATTTTAATCACAGATCACAAAACTATATATTGTGCTAGCTCAAGGCTTTGTGACTACTCTAGCTTGTAGCCATCATTCATTTCTAATACTCTCAAGCTTGTTTAAAATACTTAAAATAATTTGCTTCTTTTAGTTTTCCTTAGTCTTTGTCTGAAAATTAGTTGGACTTGGGTTTTAGTTTTTGGTTCTATTTGTAAAGTTTTAGTTTTTAAATATAGTAAACACTGTTCTTACAGTTTTGCTGTTTGCTAGCAGGCCCCCCGCCACCTCTACCACCACTTCAGCCCCTTGGAATGGATGTACCCCCAAGTTCGATTACAAGTTCCGTGCCTGCTGTTGTCACATCAGTGATTCATCACCAGCCTCCTTCAGCACAACCTCCTCCCTATACAGCAGGTAATGCATTCCTTTTTGTCTTTTAGGTTAAAATTAGTTTAATAGTTTGCATTGTCTATATATTATTTTCTATCTTCCTGTTTCCTGAATGTGCCGTAGGATTAACCAGCATCTACTATTTACGTAGAATGTCTTGAAACAAACTCTCGATTTAAAAGAAATTGAGATTTCCAAAATGAAGCTAGTGGATACTTAGAAAGTCAGGGTATTAGGATACAGGGAAATCAGTTTAGAAGATTTAACATGATTTAATAAAATGATGGAATAGTTTTTTTCATACCTTTTTATTTTTTTTGAAACCATATTATACTTTCTGATTAATTCACCAAAATTGTACTGAACAGTCACCAAAATAGTATGAATCAGATGAGAGACGAGGAACACCAAATAATCCATGCAAGAGGCTGGCTGCCGAGACACCTTGAGGTGCTTTAATCAAAGCATTGACTCAGGTTATTGCAGTATAGATGCAGACAGGATAAATAAATTCAGCCTGTGCTCCAAAAGTCCCTTTTAAAGAGATGTACACAGTCCTTTGGACTAACCATGCACTTTAAGAAACTATTTTCTGTTTTTGAAGTAATAAATGCTAGTTTGCAAGGACTTTTCAAATGCACAAAGTGATTGGGAGTGGGAAATGTATGTCCAGTTGACTGGCCTGAATTTCTTTACTCCTATTTCGTCCAGCAGTATCATGTAGACAGGATTGTATTCTGAGTGAATTGTTCACTCTTCAGTATAATTTTAGATGTGTGTGTACCTTAGCTCTATATCCAAGCATTTTTCTCCGGACCTCGAAATTGATATCTAGTATTTATTTCAGGTCTCTTGAAGTTTCAGCGCTTTAATTTTCCTCGAGTGATTGTACACTTAAGCATATTGTGCATTTAAGCCTTGCATTTTTTTCTAAATCCTTGCGCATCGTTTGTCTCTATTGCTCCATTGTCTGTGTAGTCTGCAACATTTGTTTTTAGTAGATTTGATAACCTTGTCTTTGGGATTCCAGAAGCTTTTAGTTTGTATTCTGTGTGGACCGTTGTAGAAACTTTTTTAAATGTCTAGACAGAGTGCTTCTTCTTGTATTTTATATGTAAAGTCAAGGACCTCTCGTGCCTTTTTCTATCTTTCCGGAACGTCCTGTACTCCGTAATTTCAATTTAATTTTCCATTCTGAAGTAGCCAAATTTTTTTGAAACTTCTAATCTTTCTTGTTGCTACATACACCTCTAACCTTGTTTATATTAGCTGTGTCCATGTTTAAATTAGCTGAAGGAAGCACAGGGGATTTCATCTGAACTTACCTTTAGGTTGCGTGAAGACATGACGAGTGAAATTTTTCCAATGGTTGAGACTTAATCTTGCGTTACCATATGTAAGGGAAATTACTTTTAACATGGAGTCCTGTAGCTCAGTGGTTAGACCACTGGCCTTGCAAGTGAGAGACCTGAGTTTGATTCTTGGCAGGGCAAAATGTTGGGCACATTTCCTTACTGCTAGTTAAACAGAGGTGTGTGGAGTAAGTAAGAACACGGTTGTAGTCGATTACGGATCGTTTTTCCAGGGGTAATAATTCTTTTTAAAAAAAAGTTGTTACTCAATCCACAACCGTTTGTGGGATAATGCTGTACGCAATTGGCTGCCGCGTTTTGCCCACAAAATATTCAGCCAATTCACTTTACAGGATATTCTGTGAAGCGCTCTGAGACATCGCAAAGGCACGATAAGGTGCTATATCAAGAACAACAACATCGTGGATTTATATAGCGCCCTCCACACCGGACGGCGTCTCAGAGCGCTTCACAGTAAGGAATCCTGGGGCCGAGCCAGGGGGAGGGGGAGGAAGGTGACCAAAGGCGCGGTCGAAAAGAAAGGTCTTCAGAAGGAAATCAAATGCAAGGATTATTATTATCAGTATTCTCATAAGCACCATTTTTCCCTCCAACAGGTAATTGACCCATTTTAAGCATTGTATCATTTATTATGCTGTTGTTTGATCCACTATTGGTTTCAAACACTAATCCAACAGGATGAACTTCGATGTAGTTTGTGTGGTGAAATGTACTTTTTTAAATTTGTAGAAAGCTATGAACCGGATGGATATAATCCTGAAGCACCAAGTATAACCAGCACTTCTAGACCTGTTTACAGACACAGGGTTCACAGCCAAAGACCTAACTTGATTGGATTAACATCTGGTGACATGGATCTACCACCACGAGGTACATTAAAATATAAAGAACTGCAAAATAGTGTGGGGAAGAGAAAAACTCTACCAAATGTGTTCTCTTTCCTCTTGTCCTGAAGGCATTTTACTTTGCTGAGTTTTAATCTTTGGGTGCCAGAAATGGCCTTTATTCATGCGAGAAAGATGGTGAGTTTTGGCAAGCTATTTAACTGTGAAACTCGCAGTCCGATCCTGTCCTCGCATGACATCCAGACATCCGCACATGCATGCACACGCACAGCTTTCATTGTCAACTGGATTGCAATTGTGAACAAGGGTCCTGGTAGATATATTTTCTTCTCCTTCCTAATGTGAAGGAGTCGAGGCCAGTTGTTGACCAGCTAACTGAGCACGGACCAGGATTCAAACCTGAAACTTAGTCCATATGGTTTAGTGATACCTTCATTCTCTAAGGCTATTAGGACATTTAGGGTGCAGAACTTTTTGTTCTTTAGATACCAACACAGTGAGTGTCAGTTTAATTTACTAAATGTTCTGAATGTGCACTATCCACTGACGCATGTCAGATTTGAATCTTAGTCTTAAGTCTTATCCTCCACTGGTACAAAGGAGTGGAGACTGTTTTGTATTATCAGATGAAATGTGCAACGTTAGTCTCTTATTAATGATATCGCGTTAGACTTCCATTGCCATTTCAGGATTGCTTTCATTGTTATTTGCACAATTTGGATTTAAAATATGCTATTCAAACATGCTTGTCAAATGAACTCTGCTATAAATTGGTTATTTTCAATAATTTTTAATGTATTAAAAATATCCTAACGCAAAAAATCAAACAATAATAATAATCCTTGCATTTGATATAGCACTTTTCACGTCGGGAGGACGTCCCAAAGCGCTTCACAGAATAGACTGTAAAGTGAATTGACTGTATATTTGTGGGCGAACGCGGCAGCCAATTGCGCACAGCAATGTCCCACAAACAGTCGTAGATTGAAAATGACCAATTTATTATTGTTTTTGTTTTGTTTTTTGGAGGGATTATTAATGATGTGTTTTACAGTGCTCCAAGATGCTATCCTCGCGAAGGGCATTATATAAATACAAATTGTTGTTTATCAGATTATGTGGTGCTTTTAAAAATGCTTACATTATGCATTTCACTCTTTCTGCATTGTAGCTGCAAATATTACTGTCAAAACTGAAAAAATTGCAAACAACAACATGAGAATAGTAGTGGATTCTGAATCCAGGAAACGTACAATAGGTGGTTGTCCTGAAGGGATCCCTCTAAAGAAACAATGGTTTGACAAGTAAGGTTTCCGTTGTTTTTATTTTTGCTTTATCGCATTGTAATTTTGAATGATGTTACTTTAGATGATTTAGCATATCACATTGTAATCTTCAACATTTCAGAATTTCAAATTAATTGGATTGATTTAAAATATCAAGCCAACTTCAGGCTCTTTCAAGTCTGAAAACAAATTGATTCTCCATCTGGTCTTGCAGGGTCCAATTATACTTGGTCTTCTTAATTCACGTGTAGTACTCCCTATAATTCATGAAACGAATGAATAATATTTTTATGGTGTTGCATGCATGGCTATCTGCAGCCATTCCATTTGAATCTTCTTATACGGTAGCTGTCTTGGATATTCCATTTATGTGTAAGTCACCTAGTGTCAACTAGCGTTCCAACTCGAGAGTTCATCAAAAGAGTTCATGACTCGCTTCTCCTCCCCACACCTACCTTGTATTGACTAACTTGTGCAGTCCTTGCTAGGTGGGGAGATCACCCCCAGTGAGCCTGGGAAGGCATGAGGGATGTCCCGTACATATCCTACAATATATTTACGTTGTTCACCTTTCGCCTTTTTTTAAAAAAATTAGGAGTTGAGGTATCTTCTTCCCGCTCCCCACCCCCTGTTCTCCAGAATTTCCGTCCTGTATACTGTAAACCATTATGCAGGCTACAGAGGTGCTGCACTAAAGTATTTTCCATCATAGCTTAGCTGTTGGAGAACCAAATTCTGAAATTTAGCACAAAATTACATTTGTTTAGTGCCTTTCTCATCAAAGGGATGTCCCAAATTTGATTTTTTTAAAAAACATTGGTTAATAGATTTGTTGAGATGGATTTTCTAGGAATAGATAAACTGCTTCATCAATATTGAAAGCAATGATTCTTTAAGTCACCGTATGAATATCTGTGCCTTCACCTCAATTTGCATAAAAATGTACACCACAGTATTATTTTTGGTATACGCATTCAAGATAAACAGATCTGACCTATATTTCAACAGGACAAATTTCAACAAACTAAATAACCAAGGATTTCAAAAGAAAGCACTGTATGGAAATGAAAATGCCAAACTTGAGCTTCGGAAGGTTCCACAAGAGCTGAACAACATCAGCAAACTCAACGAACATTTTAGCAAATTTGGAACAATTGTTAATCTACAGGTGGGAATAAAAACTTAAAAATAATGGTTATCAAGAAAACATTGTTGCTTTAAAAATGTCTTAATATTTTTCCTTTATCTGCATTGCTTTAAAATAATTACATAAAAAATTGTAAAGCACAAACTTCTTCCCGTGGTGCACAATTTGCAATGTGGAAACAATGAAAAACGACATTCTGACATGTATTTTATCATCCTTGCATTTTTAGATAATGTTTTATGTGTTTCAATAACAATCATTGCATTTCATACAGTGCCTTGTCGTATCAAAGCCTCTTGAGCTGGACTTTAAAGATCCGGTGGCACAACTCAAAGAAGGGAATTTCTCCCAGTATCCTGGTAAACAATCCCCACATAAAATTGGGCATTCACTCTTTGTCTGCTAATAAAGAGAACATAAACAAACATCTACAGTGCCAATCTCCTTCTGAATCTTTTATCAAAAAATAACGTATTGGCCATTCACTTTATAGTTGTTTGTGGTACAATTGTGTGCAAATTGGCTGCCATATTTGCATACAAATATGTAGTCACTGCACTTGCACTCTGAGACGCTGCCCTATGTGGACAGCGCTATATAAGTGCAAGTCGTTGTTTATAGCAAATCCTATGAAGTGCTTTGAGACGTCCTTCCAACGTGAAAGGGGCTATATCAAATGCTAGGATTATTATCGTATCATTTGACAGCAATTACGTGAATTGTTTTTGAGAGCTACCAATGTTATAGATGCTTTAATAAATGAAATTGTTATCAATATTGTGCATTCAAAACACACAATGGATGTTTTTTCTTTTTCATGAATTCAAGGTGAAATATTTTCCTAACAAAAAGCATATTTTGTAGGAATGAAACTTAACTCAATTTCTTACTCAGGATTGTATTAAGGCTAATGGTTGGTTTGCATACATATTGTATAAAATGTAACCTTTGGACAAATCATAAATTGTTTAAGAATGTGTGCAGAGATCTTGCCATTGCAGTACCAATTCCTCACTGAGATATTTTTGAAAGTATTGATATGAATTGTGCCACTGTTTACCGAAAGTAAACTGGTATCTATCTTGCTGCCACCAGGTGTCAGTATACTGATGGTATAATTTTCATGGAAGGTAGCTCCTGCAATGTACATGTGTTACCGTCTGTGTTCGAATGGTGCTTATAGTTTGATTAATGAGAAACTCTATTTTAAAAGTCGTAAATATTTTAAAATGCAGGATGGAATACAGTCACTGATTAACTTGTTGTGAGGGCCCCAAAATCTGCTTTTGCAATTTACAAGTTCTACATCGGAACTTTGAACTAACTCTAAATGACTTCTTTGCTGGCTTTCTTGTTGTTTAATAACAATAATCCTTGCATTTGATATAGCACTTTATCATGTCTTTATCATGTCTTCGAGATGTCTCAAAGCGCTTCGCAGAATATACTGTATAAAGTAAACTGACTATATTTTGCAGGCAAAACACAGCAACCAATTCCACAGAGCAGTGTCCCACAAACAGTCGTGGATTGAAGTAACCAATTTTTTTTAAGGAATTATTATCCCCTGAAAAGCAATCCGCCAATCGACTAACAGCCATGTTCCTGCTTACTGCTAGGTAAACAGAGGCATGTGGAGTAAGGAAATTTGCCCAACATTTCTCCCTGCCGGGAATCAAACCCAGGTCTCTCGCTTGCGAGGCGAGTGCTCTAACCGCTGAGTTTAGGGAAAGAAAGATACAGAGCTTGTCGTAGCTCTCATTTGTATCCCTTATTTAATCATTGGAGGAAGTGGATCGAAGGGGATGGTTATGAAAAAAATCGATTGAGAAGCAAAAGAATTGAGTTTCATAAAAGGAAAAGCGCCTGCATTTACATGTGTCTCTTGGGCAGCTGATGGACTTATAATGAAAACAACACGCTTAGAGCAAAATCTGTTCTTTTTCAAGGTTGCTTATCAAGGTGATCCAGAAGGTGCCCTTATTCAGTTTGCCACACACGATGAAGCAAAGAGGGCAATCTCAAGCACAGAAGCTGTGCTTAATAACCGATTCATTAAGGTATATTGGCATCGGGAAAGCAATTCTCAGCAGAAAACAATCCAAAATCAAAAGGTAATACTGTAACTGTATTCAAAGTGATGTTGCTTTCTGTCCACATAATTTCAGCATATTGACAGTTGATTTTCATATGGGGACAATGAACTATACAAATTATCTCTGGATCAATTGTGCACAAATTTTGCGATTCTAACAATTTTACAGATGAAATATTTCTTTTTCAGAATTAATTGGCTGTGTGTGTAATGTGACCTAAGACTTCTTAGGGTGCTGCCACATTCACTGCATATTTTTAAAAAAATCTATACTTGTAATGGAAACTTTAATAATAATAATAAATATTTCAATTAATATAAAACCTTATGGCATTGAAATGTCTCCAACGTTCTTCTGTATTTGACTTGGCTAGACTGTTTAGTATAAAAAGAGTTTTAATACCTAAGAAATATTTCTTCATCAGTGAAATTGATAAAAATCACTTCAGATAAACCAATTGAGTGGAGGGTGTTTTCTCCACTCTTGAGTTGAAGTGGATTCAGCTGGTATGAGGCGGACATTAATGGAATCTTGGTCCTCCTTGTTTTGGGCTGTTGCAACTTCAGAATGGCACTGACTAAGGCACAGGGTCCCTTCGTTGTCCCCTGTCCCCCCCCCCCTTACTTGTCAGAGGACATTTTAACCTGATTCAACAAGAAACAAAGAGGAGAAAAACATGCAACAAATCACGTTTCTTACAAATATCTAGAATTTAGTTATTCCATTTAAAAGTTTAAGGTATCTGAATACTTTTAATTCAGTATTTCGTCTGTTTTTAGCACAGCTGAAACATAACCATATATGTCTGTGCAAAAGTTATTTTGCAAAAAAATTCCTAATGGTGCACTATAAGGTTGTCTTACAAGATTGGGAGTAAGGCATGTTGTTGGAGTTAAGTAGATGGCTCTTGTGCATTGTGATTGGAAGTGCTGTGTTCTCTGTGGATGCCCAAACCTGTGCTGGGTGGCTAAAATAAGAAGGTGTTCTCCTATTGTTGATGATGAGGAGATCAAAATTGTTCTAAGTAATAAGTTATACATTGTCATAAGTTCTAAATTTAACTTGCAGTCTAAAAGTATGAACAATTTGGTACATTTTTCTTTTACTTGTCAATCTTTTAAAGGTGCTATCTGGACCACAGCAGTCAGCTACGCAGTCTGCATTCACAGTTGTCAAACAGTCTGTGAAGGACAGGCTAGGACCTTTACCGCCAGGCAATATGGAATCTATGCCATCTCAAGTTACAGCCACTGTTCAGGTATGTGCAGTAATTCACCTTTCTGAGGCATATTTTGAATATCATTATTTATAATAAGCAAAATGTGATATTTTTAATATCTTAATGCTTATAGTTGGAAAATATAAAACATACTATTGATGCTTCCCTGTTTTTTAACATTTTTAAAAAATCTTTTAAATTTGTTTCTTGAACTTCCGTAGGAAGTGTTGCCAATCTGGTTACACTTTTAAAAAGTTCTCCCTTTTTAAGTTTGGGTTACCATTCCCTCACTAAGATTTTCCTTCAACTTTTTCCACTCATCAGCATCACCTTTCTGATTTTTTCTTTCATACTGATTTGATGTATATGTGTGCTTGTTGTATATTGGGTTTTGTGCAGAGATGAAAATAAGATAAATCTCCAAACTATTTATTAGAAGGGAAAAGCCTCATGGCTTCCAAGGAAACTGACCCCAGATGATTTCTCTTAGTGATTGATGGCAAAGTCTTAGGGTGGTTAAATAAGGGAATGCGATGCAGTAGGTAATGCACCTTGTTGTTCTTTCCTCTCAGAATGTAAATAAACTATCGATTAAAGATCGACTGGGCTTTCCCACTAAACGCACAGAACTTGCTCCAGTTACAACTGAAAAGGTAAAACTGCTCAACTGGTTTTGTTGTTCACCCAGTACAATATATTTTTATATATGGTTGCATATATAACTTGAAGTATTCAATCTGATTTAACATTCAAATTTGCCTTGATGTGTAGATAAATCACATTCAACATAATCTCAGCTACAATGATTTTTTCTTATTACAGCATGTTTTACTTAACATCTAATAGTCAACCTGGCTCAGTGGTAGCACTCTTGCCTTTGAGTCAAAAGGTTGGGGGGGCAAACCCCACATCAGGACTTGGAACTCATATAATCTCTGTTGAAAGTCCAATTCAGTCCTGGGAGTGTGCTGTATTATCAGGTGCCATTCTTTGGATGAGAAGTTAAACTGAGGTCCCATTATGTTATGCCTGTCCAGGTGGATGTTAAAAATCCTGTGACACTATTCGAAAAGAAAAGGGAGTTTTCTTGGTTTCCTTTCCAACAATACCTGAAATAAATTTGATCAATCAAAGTCCCACCGCTTTACAGTATATCCTGTGAAGCACTTTGGGATGCTTCAATAAGTGAAAAAGGTGCTATTTTTGTGATTATGTCAATAAGAAGTGATTTTTTTTATGATATGAATTTCCTTTTTCACTAACAAATTTCTTCCCATTCCCCTACTTTCAGGTTTTGTCAACGACCACAGGGCTTACAAAAACGGTCTACAACCCTGATGCCCTAAAAGCAGCACAAAAGTCATTAGCTACTAGTGTTTCTTCAGATCCCAATGAGGCACAAAAAAAGAAACAGGTGAGTTAGCCCCACAGCCTTGACATTATATAATAAGTAATCTCATTTGCAGTGTTCAGTGTTTGGTTTCAACCCTGTTCATTGTTTTTGGAAATGGGTGTCAAGGTGTAGTTTGCATGAGAAAATTAAGATAGACAAGATTTAGCAGCTGATTTTAAAAAAAGAAAATAATTAGAAGTAAATCTTAGTGTTAAAACATGGTGTTTGACAAAGCATAAATGAAGTCTCAAGGAATTATGTTATTCAAAGTACTTTACTTAATTTGCAGAGTAGTTATAGTGCACCTTTTCTATATAACAAAGAATGTTTATCCTATGACTTGTACTCATGTTTTGGGTGCTCAAGTGAAGTGTGTTGATCGGAACAACCACAGTCTGCAGGTTGCAGCTATCTGTTCAGGAACATTTTTATGATCTAGGTATTGTTTATATGAGTTATATTACTGTACCTGGATAGATGGCTTTTGATCAGAGCCCAAAGACAGTCTGAAGTGTGTGCACCTTCCAAACTCAATACGTTGCAGCGAGCAACCTGGGCCGTTCACTGTAGTACACTGACTGGAATGGTCTGGTGCAAAAGCAGGCATGTGATGGGGGTCTGTATTGAACAAATATAAAACTTCTAACATTATTTATTTTAATTATCACTGCATTGAGTTGCATTTGCTAGATATAAAACTTCTTCCTTATTTGATTTGGTGCCATGATTCTTCTGGTTATTATGTGGCAGAATTACATAATAATCCCAAATAGAAGCCCCACCTACCAGAAATGCCACTGGACCAATGGACTGCTTGGACTTTTTGTGTTGTGAGTTTTCTTAGGAAGTGGGGGGTCAGGAAAGCATTTGACTTCAATCAATTTTTTTAAAAAAACATATGTAATTCGGTGACTTGTAAAATTTGTTTTTAACAGTTTACTGGAAAAGACCATTCTTCTTGTAGTCCTTCCTACAATGTTGTCTTTTTTAAACAAGACATTGGTTTGTGTTTTTTTACAAAAATCATTAATTGAAATACTGTTTCCTACTTGTGTCTTAGACCTGCACCAATTACTTGGGCAGCTGCAATTTTTTCCCTTGCAAAAAGTTTTTTTGGCACCAAACAGCTAAGGGACAGATTATTTGAGAATACGCTGCAGATTTTTTCACTTTGTCTTTCATTTTGCCCAGTTATACTATATGTGAAACCTTAAAGTGAGTATTGTTTTTTCTACTTGGATATTCCTGTTGGCCACTGATCTATTTTTAATGATTTTACAGGATGCATTCAGACTTCAACAAGATGTGAGAAAAAAGAAGCAAGAGATTTTAGAGAAACATATAGAAACCCAAAAGGTATGTAGTCTATAGCCTTCCCACCCACCTTGATTGCTGTTTTAGATTATTGCATTGGCTTCTGACTGCTCCTGATCATCCTTTTTAAATCTCTCATGAATTGTATTGTTTTATTCAATTTTGTTTTGATCCTTCATTGTTAAGAGCACAAAAAAATAATCTTCCATTATCTTTGCTGCTTTTGTATTTAGTTTATTTTTCTTCCTTCTATTTCCATTCCTGATACTCGGTCATTTATAAATAACCATTATGCAGAAATTTGAAAACAAATACTTTGATAATATTGTACATTTAGAAGTTGTAGAGCTTATTTTTCTTTCGATGAAACACATAGAAGCTTTTATACAATGCCAAAAAATAAATATTGCAAGAAAAAGATTAAATGTGTAAACTGGCAGAATCTTAGAATATCAGTAAAGCAAAGTTAAACTATATAAAAATGCAAAAATAAACTTCAACTAATAAAATCCCACTTACCCATCATATTGACTTCTTCTGGGTATTGTGCAAGTTTAAAACTGCAACGATTGGATTTGCCTTAAAATACTTAATGCTCTGGAATGGCAATTAAAGCTTAGAATGTACAGAAATACTTGATCCAACAAGGAATGAATTGCATAAAGAGTGTAGTCTCAGTCTTCAATGATCTCTGTATAGTGCAAGTGTATGTATGATTATCCAAACACCTTGTCTGAAAAAAATATAACCTATCTTCACTTTCTGTATCCACCTTCAGATCTTAATATCAAAACTGGAGAAGAACAAAACCATAAAGCCTGAAGATAAAGCAGAAATCATGAAGACACTGCAGGCCTTGACAAAGAGCATAACCAAACTTCAGGATGAGCTGAAAGCAAACCGAACAGGCTCATCGCCTCTTCCGAAAACTGTTAAAACCAAAGCTCAGGTATTGCACTTAATTAGTTGCTTTCCAGTTAATTTAAAAGGAAAGAAACCATTGTATAGATTCTGCATTTAAACGTTACATGAGCAAGAAAAGGTTAATTCCTTTTCATTTTTTTCTCCAGGTTTCCAATATTTTTTGCCGACAAAACGCAATCAATTCATTTGGTTTGATTTGGAGTCCCGTAGCTCAGTGGTTAGAGCACTCGCTTTGCAAGCGAGAGACCTGAGTTCAATTCCAGGCAGGGCGAAACCTTGGGCAAGTTTCCTTACTCCACACGCCTAATAATAATCCCTCCAAAACCAAAAACAATAATAAATTGGTCATTTTCAATCTACGACTGTTTGTGGGACATTGCTGTGCGCAATTGGCTGCCGCGTTCGCCCACAAATACAGTCAATTCACTTTACAGTGTGTTCTGTGAAGCGCTTTGGGACGTCCTCCCGACGTGAAAAGCGCTACATCAAATGCAAGGATTATTATTATTTTACAGTATGTGAAGGGCTTTGAGTCATCTCGAAGACATGATAAGGAGCTATATCAAATGCAAGGATTATTATTTTATTTATTAATGTTCATTGAAGATAAACCTCAGAAATTTATAGTGAGGAGGGTAGTGAGGGTCTTAACATATAGTAAATAAATATGATTATCTATACATTGAGGCCTTTCTTCTGATGGAATTATGATCTACAGTTGGACAAAACAAACTGAGAAGAATAGGAATTGTGCACTTTATATACACAAGAATCTATTCTTGTGTATATGTGTCACATAGATATGTCATGGTGACACAGACTTTAAAGTATTCAAAATATTCCTTTTGAATCCTCACACCTTCAATCTATTTTTTGAAGGATGTTATTACAAAGCAATTTTCTATACAATACAATATTGCATCAATGCATAAAGACCGTGCTAGTAAATAACCTTTCTCACAAGTAAATGCTGTTCCAACAACAACTTGCATTTATGTTGCGCCCTTCACACAGAGTAGCATCTTGGGAGTGCTTCAATGCTGTTATACTGACCAGCATAAAAATGGCCAAACTGTTTTCACACACCTGTCCTTATCTTTCTTCTTTTATAAATCTTCTGAATACGGTAAATGAAATTAATTCAACCAGATATCACCAAAATGTATTCTGGTGACCAGAGGTGTATAAACTAATCTTCCATTTGTCTTTTTTGCTTTCATTTGATCCTCAGGTTGGCTATCATTATTCTGGTTTTATTATGATGAAATGAATCCCTACATTTAATTCGCAGATGCAAAAAGAACTGCTAGATACAGAGCTGGACTTGCATAAGAAAACGCAGGCTGGAGAAGATGTCGCTGAACTGAGGAAAAAATACAATGAGCTTCAGCTAGAGGTAGGATGTGATTATAATACAGAGGACTGCTGTAATAGCATGCATGTGCACATATCCACTTTTTTTTAGTTTCACATCTGTGCCATGACCCACTCTGCCTTCCCCCACCGCCGCAACATCGCCCGGCTCCGCCACTTTCTCAGACCACAAGCCGCCGAAACCCTCATACACGCTTTCACTACATCGAGGCTTGACTATGCAAACTCATTGCTTGTCGGCCTCCCCAACTCCTCCCTCCACAGACTGCAGATCATCCAGAACAATGCAGCACGTGTCCTCTCCCACCTGAGGCTCCGCGACCCCATCACCCCCATCCTTGCCCAACTCCACTGGCTTCCCATCACACAGGATACAGTTCAAGATCCTGGCCCTCACCTTGAAAGCCCTCCATGGTCTTGCTCAACACTACCTCTGCGCCCTCCTAACCTGCTCCCTCCCTCCGCTCACGTCCCCTACCTCGCTCCCCCCCTATTGGCAGGCGGACCTTCTGCCACTCTGCCTCCACCCTCTGGAACTCCATCTTGCAGTCCCTCCGCCTCACCCCCTTCAAGACTCATCTCAAGACCCTCCTCTTTGACCGTGCTTTCGATCTCCCTGCTTCACCCACCCCTCCACCCTCCCCAACCCCGATCCCCAGCTCAGGTCCGAAACTCTGTCTGTCCAGCATTTTGGGACATCCTCCTGGCATGAAAGACGCTATGCTAATGTAATTTTGCTGTTGTACACTTGAGCTTGAGGTTTCCATGTGTGAGATTTTTTCCCAAGCAACATGACTGAAATGACAGCGCAAGATAATTTTTCCAGGTCCAAAAAGGGTTAAATGGGGGTGATGCTGCGTAGAGTACTTTAGTGTGGGGAGGGAGAGACAGAGCTAAAGAGAGTCAGAAACGAGATTAAAGTGAGAGTCAGAGAAAAGGACTTCTCAAAGAGAGAGAGAAAATGGGCCGGCCAGTATGATCCTACATCGTGAAAGTATAATTTTTGATTGAAGAAATGTTTGGTTAGCACTGTTGCCATTTAGCATGATGACCTTTCACCTTCATAGTTCCCATATCTACAACGGCACTGGTTCCAATTAGTTCGGAAAACAGGGTTCAACAATTCTAAGAAATGATATGTAGTCATATTTAATAGTAACATTCAAAATACTTATTTTGCTTATCTTTTTGCTGAGCCCCCAACAATTTTTCTCTCTAAGATAACTAAAGTCCCAAACCTTTTGTGCTCACTGTTTATGCAATGAAATTAAATGTTGCATTCAGACCATAAGTAGTATCATAAATTGAAACTGGATATATTGTATAAGCAGTGGGAAACTGGAAAGCAGTCTCTCTGTAATACCAGTATTTAATAGTAGATGGCAGCATTGTCTGCCATTTAAACCAGCTTGCAAGAGAAAGAGCGAGCTTACTGTTGTAGTCCCGCAAGTCTAGATATGATACGGCTTTCTGTGCCCTGTCACTCCAAGCAAGTCAGTCCCAATGGTAGACTGACTCATAAGTTAGTGGGGAGATATAGGACATAGATGAATAATCTTCAGGTTGGCTTATGCTAAATCTCAATTGGGATTCAGAAATCAGTGAGTAATCTGCTGAGTATACATCTTGCTAACCATGCCTTTCAGTAACTTTTTTTTAATATAACTTGAAGAGTGGTTCAGCCTAGTCACACCTGCATACATTTTTCCTGATCCACACAGTGATGTACATTTGTATGTACATACAAATGTACATAAAGTACATACAAATGTACATAAATGTACATAAAGGTTCTTGGTGAGCTCTTTGGTCCATCTCTAGACGTTGCAATTAAAGGGTATTATTACCAAAATTCATCGTTTATGGTCATAGCTCCTCAACTCTGATCAATGTGATTAGTGAAACTAAAGAAGGGAATTTATTTCAAAATGATAGGCTACCTTCTGTAATCGAAGGAATAACATTTTTGCTTTTGCTCATTGTGTACTTGCAGCTGTAATGTAGCATTCTAGTGATTGCAAGCCTTGGTTTAAGCCACCCAGTGGTGGAGAACAATACTTTTTAAAAGAGAGTTTCACGAAATGCTTTCCTGCTCCATAAGTTGTGCATAGCACAACTACATAGCATGTGACTTTATTTTTTGTTTAAAATAACCCATAACTCCTTGACCTCTCTGCTGCTTTTGAGACCGTCAACCACTCTATCCTCATCCACCACCTCTCCTCTCACCTCAATCTCCACGGCGCTGTCCTTGATTGGTTCAGATTGTACCTCTCACACCGCCTGCACTTCATCTCCTCAAATGGCTTCTCCTCTAGCCCCCACACCATCTCATGCGGCGTTCCTCAGGGCTCTGTCCTTGGTCCCCTCCTCTTCAACATCTATATGCTCCCCCTTGGTGACATCATCTACAGACAGGGGGTCAACTTCCACATGTATGCGGATGACACCCAACTCTACCTCTGCCTCCACCCTTGACTCTTGGACCACTGCTGTTTTGACAGAATGTCTGTCTAACATCAAATCCTGGATGAGAGCTAACTTTCTTCAGTTGTACGTCAACAAGATCGAGGCTCTCCTGATTAGCTCCTGTCAGCACCTCCTCACCTCAGGCGCTGACAGTATCACCATCCATGGTTGCACACTCCACCTTGCTAAGCCAGTCCGGAACCTTGGAGTCTTGTTGGACCCTCAACTATCATTTCTACCCCACATTCGCGCCATGACCCGCTCTGCCTTCCTCCACCTCCGCAACGTCGCCCGGCTCCGACATTGTCTCACAGCACAGGTCGCCGAAACCCTCATACACGCTTTCATCATATCGAGGCTCGACTATGCAAACTCACTGCTTGTCAGCCTCCCCAACTCCTCCCTCCACAGGCTGCAGATCATCCAGAACGCTGTAGCCCGTGTCCTATCCCGCACTAGGCTCCGTGCCCCTATCACCCCCATCTTCGCTCAACTCCATTGGCTTCCCATCATACAGAGAATAAAGTTCAAGATCCTGGTCCTCACCTTCAAAGTCCTCCATGGTCTTGCTCTCCCCTACCTCTCCGACCTCCTAACCCCCTACCATGCTGTTTGCTCCCTCTGCTCAGCAGGCTCTGGCCTGCTTCACGTCCCCCGCCTTGCTCGCCCCACCATCAGTGGGCAGGCCTTCCGCCATTCTGCACCCACCCTCTGGAACTCCATCCTGCAGTCCCTCCGTCTCTCCCTCGCTTTCAAGACCCACCTCAAGACCCTCTTAGACCGTGCTTTCGGTCTCCCTGCTTGCCCCCCCCCCCACACCCCGACCCTCAGCTCAGGTTTGAAACTCTGTCTGTCCAGTGCTTTGACACTTCCTCCCGACATGAAAGGCGCTATATAAATGTAATTTTGTTGTTGTTGTAATCTGGTGAGTGCCATTGTTGACAATTTTTATACTTTTCAAGTTTTTAGTTTTCTACTTTGCCTCTTGATTCAATTTCGTACAGCATAAAATTTAAATGGTAGATATATTGTTATGGTAACTTATTTATCCTTCCTATTTAAAAGAGAAATTCTAACGTGAAAGGTGCTGTATCAAATGATTATTATTACTACTACGTGTTAGCCATGCAAGATTTTACCACACATGCTAGTGTTATAAATATGTTTAAAACTAGTCAAAGCAGCTGATATCTTATGTTTGAATGTTTCAGGCTGCCAAGCGGGGAATCCTCTCGGCTGGACGTGGAAGAGGGGTCCATTGCAGGGGTCGAGGTGGGCAGCGAGGGCGAGGAAGAGGACGAGGCCGAAGTGTTTCTCTTCACTCTGTGGTAGATCATCGTCCAAAATCATTGAATATATCTGGTTTTTCAGAAAGTGACCAAGATGAAATTCTGCCACATTTTGCAGTAAGTTTTAGTAAATTTTATTTAATTGGAGAAAGTAATTTGTTCAAGTCAGCTTCTCGGAATAGATGCTTCCACCATATAAACAAACCTAGAGATAGCAAAAAATGAAGTGCATTTGTGACTTTTGCTATATATACTATGGTACTAGCAAGTGAGAAGTTATACTCAGCCGGTAGATAGGTATTGAGCGATCTCTGAGTTGAACAGCTGTTGATTAGTTCTCAGATCAGAAATAACTGCAGCATACCCATCTTCCATTTCATTTATTCTCTTAAAAGTGTTTTGTCTCAATATTCAAGCAGATCACGTGTGAAGTATTGTGTGGGCACAAGATTTAGAAGCTTCATGTAAGGGGAGCATCGTTTTTCACAAGAGATTGCCTCATTTCAGGGGATCATGAAGAGAAATCAATTTAAGATTGAGGAATATCTGTGTTCAGGTATTGTGTTCACAGACCAACATTGATTGTCCACCATAATGAAAGGAAGCCACACAAGTATGGGAATTGCTAGATAGCATATTTTGTGGGCGACTTACCCTAAAATATACAGTCAATTCACTTTACAGTATATTCTGTGATGCGCGTTGAGGCGTCTCAAAGCCTTGCTAAGGTGCTATATCAAATGCTAGGATTATTACCAGTGCTTCCGCATTCACTGTACATTCGCACAGAAATGTAGCCAACTGTTTTGGCACTTCATAATGCTGTACGGCACACACTGGCCAACCACCGTTCTGCACACAAGCGCACTGAATGCAGAAGTGCTGATGAGATCATGCCCCACTATAATGCTGGTAGGGAAATTTGGGCCCCAACTACAGTGCTGTAGAAGGTCTCCACTAGTTTACTACGTGTAGGTTTTATTAGAGATTGTGCATAGCAATTTGATCTGATAAACAAATGCATTTCATGTGTTAGTAGTAGTAGTCTTCAGTTAATAGTGAGCTTGACTATTTTGTTAAATCATAGTACATATGATACTATTCTGTATTTTTTAAGCAATTTGGTGAAATTGAAGATTGCCAGATTCCCGATGGCACACTTCATGCAGTCATCACCTTCAAGAGGCGGGCAGAAGCAGAGACTGTAAGTAAATAGTAGCTAACTACGAGTACTCTGTCAATGTTGGTTCATCAAAGCTCCATCAATCTGCATCTTAAATAATTATTCCTTTGTAAATGTGCTCCCAGAGAATGCAGGTCACTAGTGTTGTAATTTCAGAGAGAAATCTAAAACACGACAGAATTGTAATGAACTCCTGATAACAAGACCCTGGCTTAACTTGTTGCTACCACTTAAGTAGCCATGCTTCCCAAGCAAAATATTAATGAGGGACTGCGCGTTACTTGTCACTCCGCTTAACATGTAACTCGTCACTTCTTAGAAATTCTTGTAAATATTTAGAATGTAAAATTTATTGGATAACTAGTCCTGTAAGGTGGGGTCTTGCATCTCAGAGGCCTCCTACCCTATTTATGACTGGTGCAGGGTCTCGACAGAGTTGGGCACACATGCTCAGATGCATCGCAAAGGCCTCTGGTCTATTACAGGACGCCTGTCCCACCTCGCACCCTATCCTGTGACAGGATAGAGTAGGAGACCACAGTGCTGCTATCCAATAGTCTAGAGGTTTCTGCGATGCATCTGAGCATGCGTGCCCAACGTCTGTGAAGCCCACGCTCCAGTCACAGCCTTTGTGGTCTGGGTGGACCTTGAATTACTTGCTCTTCTATTTTAAATACAAAAGCTTGTAGGATTTTATTATGAACCTTACACCATTGCTACGGTACTCGCTGAGCTTTTTCAACTTCTGTATTGCTTTATTAGTGTCTTTGTGGACTAAATATATTTAATAAATTCTAGGTCTTCTTGCTTGTGAAATATTTGAGGGTGGAGAGTTCCTGTGTCTTTTCAGAATATGATTGTAATTGGATTTTTTTAAAAAACAGCTAGATAAATGTATTTGTCAAACAAGTGCGTTGCTCCTTGATATTTCATTCAGTTGTATTATATTTAGTGTGTAATAGGCTGGTTTCAGAAATGAAAGTCTTTTTTTTCTCTGGGAAAACATAGTTCAGTTGAATTGTGATGGAGACACAACCTGAGAAACGCATGGCTGCATTTAAATGCAGCTGAAACCAGTAAATTTATCATAAATTTATATGGAAATGCAAAATTTATACCTGGGGACTGTAATATCACACAATTCATGTAAAAATGTCATGGAATGTGTAATTGTTTCTACATTTCACATTATGCTGTAGTTCCAAATTGTTCTATAAATCTTTTCTGACTGTGCTGGTTATTCTGGTACATTGCTAATGTGCTAACACTGATTTGTTCTAGTTCATGTTCCTTTAATTTAACCTTTTCTGTTTTCAGTGTGGTCTGTTGTGGTATTACCCAATTTTAATTGTGTTTACCTTGTTGCTTTGTCTTGTAGTTGTACAAGAAAAATTCTCACCATTATTTCATTACTTAGGTTGATTTTCAGTGATGTGGGTAACCACCTCTTATTGCTAGGAATAGGACAAGCAGGAATTTCTGCCTCTGCCAAAATGTCACAAGTGAAATATTCCAGAATGTAATAAAAATTGTCACTAAATGTTATGGATTTGCTCCCTGGAGAATTTGCTACTTTCCTTTCAAAGCTTCCCCTCACCCCCAGTGCTATCTGCTCTGGGAAGATAGTCATGCATTTTAGGTGTCTTGTTGGCATTTCGTTTGTTATTTTTTTAAAAAAAGTTCTACATAAACTGCAATCCATCTATACGAGAATTGAGTTTGTATTTTGTCCTTCAAACTTTCTTTTTTTTAAAAAAATCTTCTTGATGGCATACATGAATGCTTATATGTATTGTCAAACTATTATTCATGGGAACAGATGATGTATATACTCACAATTTTTACCCAGCTACTCCTTCCTAAAGTAAAGCAGTCTTAATTCCTGGAATTTAGAATCTAGCATTTGGGTGATGAACTCAGATGTACCAGATCAGGACACTGAGAAGAATTGGGCAAATTTGAACCCAAGAAAATCTTTTTTTATATTCTACTTCCTTTTGTTATTTTCTATCTACCATGTTAGTACGTAAATGGGACACTGGGATTTCAAAGAAATACCCTTCTCTTAAACACCATTTCAGTCAGGAAGCTCACAATCTTCAGTAAAGGATGCCTCAACAACAACAACAACACCCCTTAAACCTAGCTACCTTCCATAATTTTGTTTCACTATTTTGACCAGTCAGTTACACTGTTTAGCGGTTTAAATCTATGGTTGGCTTTGTGGTTCCAAATTTGTTATTTTCAGTCTTGACTCACATTTTCTGTTAATGTTATACCTTATACTGGTTTCAAGATTTGTATCCACTGCAACATGTAGATTCCTGTCATTGGCAATCTCTGATACCATCAGCTCCTTCCACCTGAGCATTACTGTGCAATTTGTTGCTGTTTTGAGAGTGTTGCAGAAAACAGACTGCTAAGGTTGGAATAAATCCTTGCCCATGGTGGCTTACGTTGATGATTCTGAGCTCAAGAGGTGAAGACCCACAAATTATATTTCACCCACTCCCATTGGAAAGATGAGGTGTTTAAGTAAAACTGATAGGTCCTTGTCCATTTATTTCCTCAAAGTAAATGCTCGCAAAAAGGAGAAGAACCTTAACTCCTACGGACGTGCTTGCATTGATAGTATAAACAACAATAACAGGTTCCATAAGTCCAGGGAGGGGCATAATTAACTTGTTCTCCCTTTCTTACCCCCATGCTCCCAAGTAGTAGGTCGGTCGCATCATTTTAAAATGTGTCAATACCTCAATGTACATTCTTGGCATTTTATGCTGTTTCTTTCCCTTGGCTTAAATATTATTGTCACATATTTAGGGTGGATTAATTGTATTTAGCTCCCAGGGACTAATTTCATTTCTTTTTTTAAAAAAATGCAACGATCTTAAAAGTAACTTCATAATAACTTATCAGGCTTCAACTAGAATTGGTCAATCTACCCAGCAGGCGATCCAGATTCCAGCTCCTCCTAATAGGGAATCTAAAATGTTGGATTCCTTAGGGTCAAATATATGTGTAATTTACATGTTTGTATTGCAATCAGCCAAGTATGTTAGCTCATTTTATACACTATCTGGCTTGTTGAAAATCTTTTGAGGCCACTACAAACCCCAGCAAAGCATTAAATCACTTCTGATTAGAAATATGCAGGCAGATGGCCAGGCTTCAAATTTTAGAGTTCTATCATGTGGATGTAACGTATTGAGCCTTGAAGAAGGAAGAGAAATATTTATGTATCTCCCTTCAGGTAGAAATCCTTTCTGAATTTTTTAAAAAAGCCTATTTTTGGAAGAGGGGAGAAAGCTTTTATATGAAGGAACTTGCCCTGTATTTTTTTTTAATGTTTGTCTGAATGACAAAGAATGCACAGTTCAGGAGAGCTGTACTGTTCTTGATTATAACTAAGGTTGTCCTCTTTCATTCTTGAGAGAATATTTTGGGAGAGTTATCCTTGATGTGTATGATAAAATAAAAAGATAGTTTTCTGCTCTTTAGGGCCATTTTTCTTCATTCTGTAATTTATGTTCTCTTATATGGGAAGAATAATTAGACCTTGGGCATTGCATCCTGCTCTGCCACTTCTGAAGCGTAAGGGCATTCATTTACCACTGTTCATGTCTTGTGAGTAGTGTTTATTTGTTTTCAATTTACGTTTTTTTTTAAACTAGGCCTTTTAAAATGTGCCTGTTTATGTGGCTTCTGATAATGCTGATGTGCAGTGAGGTATTAGCTGTTAATATTAATCAGTTGGCAGTAGTGAAAACTGTTCTCCAGCCAGTTTATATGTATTCCAAGAATATAAAAACGTATACATAAATTTACGTTCTGGTAATGTATATCAATTACCGTTTCATGTTGTCCAATGATGTGATCTTTTCAGGTCTGTCACTGTTCTAACACTTGGGCAAAATGAAGTATTTTCAATTTGTTATATGTTACTGTTGTCTGATTTGTGCATTTTATGCATATGGTAAATAAAGTTATTTGTGTTTCTTTAAGTTGCTTCAGTAGGTGTAATTCTTAGCTGTTAAATATGCCTTCCAGGCTGCATTACATGGAAATCGTTTCAAGGGGCAGAATCTTCAGCTTGCATGGTATAAACCTGGAGCCACCACCACAGCTGCTGAAACCGAGGATACTGAGTTGGATGAGGAAGAGGTAAATGTTTTATAACCTGCTTTCTGGTTATACTCATAATGTATGAATTTACAATTTACTGAAGATGTTTGTGCTGCAAATTTCATATTTCTCTTTCAGGAGAAAACACATTCTAAGTATACAAACAAAAAAAATTGCATCTATATAATGCCTTTTACATTGGGAAGAGGTCCTAAGCCACTAGACATTTGAGGGTTTGCACCTCAGCTGGGGTTTGGATTTGGGAGTGGTGGGGGCCAAGGGGAAGCAGACCTTGAAGGAGGCAAGCGAAGGGGCAAGGTGAAGGGACTCTGTAATGGAATTCCAGAGACTGGGAGCAGAAGGTTGAACCTGACCTCACATTGTGGGGTAGAGAAGCAGGGGGACATGAAGCAGGGCATAAGTAAGTTATGTTGCTCATTTACAACGTACTGAATATTGTGCATGCAGAAATAAGCCCTTCTTTCAGGACACGTAGGCCCAGGATGACAATTCTCTGAATCTTTCCATTTGGAATGTGCATGGAAATAGGATATTTTTGGTGTCAGTCCAGCTGAGTTGGTAGTACTGTCACCTCTGAGTCAGAAGATTGTGGGTTCATTTCTGATACATAGGCTCATTCTCCAGTACGGTGCTGGCCATATTGCTTTGGTAAAACATTAAGGTTGCACCTGCTGGTTTAGATGGGAATGAAAAATCCCAATGAATTATTCAAAAAGAAAAGGGAGCTTTGCCAGGTGTCCTCACCAATCCTTAGTCAAAATTGGTCATTTGCTTCATGGCCATTCATGGGGCGTTGCTGCCATGATTGTCATGTTTGCCTACAAAATCACTGCACTTTACAGTAAATCTTATGAAACTCTTTGAGCTGTTCTGACATAAAAGAGTAGCATATCAAATGTAAGGATTGTTGATTATTTAAATACAAAAATTCTTTAATTTTCCGTATCTCTTAAATGTAACATAGTTTATTGCTCTTATTAAATTTGATTGATTCACCACACAGATGTTTAACTAAAAAGGAAATAATTACATTTGTACCATTTTAATGAAAAGTAAATTTTAAACATTATGTAAATTATGTTGAAATCTCCAGCATGGTAGAATATGATTTTAAATCTAATCTATTCCTGTACCATGCATTAATGCTTACAATCTTAATATTTTCTCTGTAGAGGCTAGGTCACTGGTGTCGGGACGAGGGTTCCTCAAAATAACTGTTTTCACAGTAAAACCCACAGATTGGCACCTGAACCAATTCACATGACAGAATTCAATACTATCGCCTATTGACAGTGAATAAGAATTGTTCTCCAATCAGCTAATTCAGTAAAACTCGCATAAGTCTTATCTTTATGAATTGTATAATCGCCTAAGTCGCACATTCACCCAAGTCCCATTCAATTTCCTATCAAAACCACTTAGATTTCTTCAAGCTACTCATATTAATCACCTAACTTGTAATGCGCTCCCCTCTCTTCCATTGCTTCTCCAACTTACCGACTGCACTGACAAACTACTGCATATGCACTAACCGGTTGCATTGCATTACAAATGTGCTCTGTAGATTATTGATTGAATTGGATTTTCTACCATTTATACAATTTGCTCGCAACTGGGACTTCACGTAAGTCATAGTAAATGTTATGGTCCCGACTGATACGACTTATGTGTTCAGTTCTGGGCACCACAGTTTAGGAAGGCTGTCAAGGCATTGGAGAGGGTGCAAAGGAGATTTACCAGGATGGTACCAGGAATGAGGGCCTTCAGTTATCAGGAGAGCTAGAGAACCTTGGATTATTCTCCTTGGAGCAAAGGTGAAGAGGAGATTTAATAGAAGTTTTCAAAATTATGAAGGGATCCGATAGGGTGAATAAGGAGAAACTATTCCCATTGGCAGATGGGTCGGTAACCCAAGGACACTGATTTAAAATAGTTGTTAAAAGAAACGGGAGGTGAGGAGAAATGTTTTCACACAGCAAGTTGTTTGGATCTGTAATGCATTGCCTGAAAGGGTGGCGGAAGCCAATTCGATAACAAATTTTAAGAGAGAAGTAGATAATTATTTGGGGAGGACAAGTTTGCAGAGTTATGGGGAGGGAGCAGGGGAATGGGATTGAATTGGATAGCTAGTTTCAAAGAACCAGCACAGATACGATGGGTGATTCTATGTGAATTTTATTGTATTATTGCCTGTGGGATATATCCAGTGAATTGCATACAGTATTTGCTTAGACGGAGAGGGAAGATATCATTGAATTAGATTGATGTAGTTTTAAAGCAGAGCAAACCCCTGATAACTCGACCTTATCTTAACTTGTCACTACCACTTAAGTCATCGTGCTATCACTATTCCGTCCCCATCTATATGAATTGACATATATGCCTAACTCACCACTCAGGAAAACTCGTCACTGAGGCTCTTTCCCTTGGAGTGATGAGTTATCAGGAGTTTACTATAGTTCCTTTTCAAACTAATTGTCAGTAATAACTCGAACCATAGTTAATCGATTTATTTCTATCTAGGTGCAGGTGAGCCCAGTACAGGTACAAAATCTGATACCCCATTTTTTCTCGAGTTTAGTTGACCTGCCTCGCACACACAATAAGCTTTTAATCAAGTACTTCTAATGCTATCTGTACAAACAGATTTGTATGTTGAACTCTTAAGTGAGTGGATATTATTTATCAGATACCTCTCAACGTTTGATGTTATGAGATGCTTGCAAATTGTGCAGTCAGTGAGTTTTGTTGAACATTAAAAGTTTGTAGGAATCAAATGATATGATAGTAATAATCCTTGCATTTGATATAGTGCATTATCACATCTTCGAGACGTCTCAAAGCGCTTCACAGAATTGACTGTATATATTGTAGCCAAAATCCAGTATGTTCACGATAGAGCACTGAATAATTAGATGTGAACTGCTAATCCTAGACCATTGTTTCTATGTTTAAAGCAGATGTTTGGTTAGCAGTACTGGTCCAGTGGATCATCTGTTGGCCATGACCTCCCCTCGAGCACTGGCAATTTGATCACTGCCCCAGTTTGTCCCATACTTGAACTTGATTGCTGAGGCCTTTTAGTGGGGCTGTGCAATGCCAACTGCTCTAGGCACTGACCTGGGTTCATACAACTGTATAATTTACAAAGGTCCAGGTGCTGACCTGGGCTCATATAACTCTAACCTGCAAAGGTCAAGGCACTGCTCATTGTTATCTATTGTATTTGAAAATGGGTAATGGTTGTGAACTGAGCTTCAGTAATCAAGCAAAAGTTGAAGAAAATGTGACACCGCAATCGGGGTGATTTTGAATATGTCAATTTTTTAATAACATTACATGCCTTTAGAATAAGGCATTTATCTTCATAGTTACAGGAAATGCAGAATTTAAATAGCTGTTTTAGATTAGTCTCTGGCACAAAAGTTAGTTTCCTTTTTTAAAAAATGGCTTACAAATTCATACATTAGAATTTGCCTTATTTAATCCAATGTAGCCCATGACAGTTCCATCAAAAGTTGAGAACTGATAAGAAAATTTGTGTTAGAGATGCACTGCACCATCTTACAGCAATACTATTCACGTCAAAACACTGTTATAACGTGCTTCACTATGCATGAATTTGCTTATAACACAGTTGAGCTATGAACCTCAGCCCCAATTACTTCTCCAAGCTATTTTCCAATTATCACATCTGGGCTTCCTGTTTGTTTATTTTCTCCCCTCTTAAACATGCTAGCAGTTCCTGAATTCCACGAGTATTGGCATCCCTCCAGTATCTTGCCTAAATGACCATTCTTCATGTTTGGACCTAGATGGTGAATGTTGGCAAGCTATTTGTTGACAATAATACTTACCTTTGATATATAATCTAATGTCAATGCATCAAAATGCCTCTTAAAATTATGCCATAAGATCTTTCATATCGATCTGAACAACTGGTCAAGACTGGTATTAGGTAATAATAATAATAATCCTTGCATTTGATATAGTGCCTTTCACGTCTTCTCAACGTCTCAAAGCGGTTAGGGTTACAGAATATGCTGTAAAGTGAATTGACTGTATATTTGTGGGCGAAACGCGGCAGCCAATTGCACACAGCAATGTCCCACAAACAGTTGTGGATTGAAAATGAACAATTTATTATTGTTTTGATTTTTGGAGGGATTATTATTAGGCGTGTGGAGTAAGGAAACTTGTTCAAGTTTTCGCTCTGTCTGGAATTGAACCCAGGTGTCTCACTTACAAGGCGAGTGCTCTAACCACTGAGCTGCAGGACTCCACAAGTGTTGTTTAAAGGATAGCATCTATGACAATGTTCAGTCTTGTACTTGCAGCGATTCACTGCCAGGTCAAAGACCGGATGTGGGATTTGCACGCATGATCTTCTGACCCAGAATGGAGAGTAGCTACTTAGCCAAACTGACCGACAAATATGAAGAGCACCGTGATCTGATGTTCTCTTCTCCCCTGCCCCCCCACTCCGATTCCCGACCAAGAGTGGCCCATTATACCCAGCTAAGATCAGAAGTATATGCCAATCAAATTTGTGATCTTTGGTATACCAGCTTTCCAAGTATACCAGTTGATGCACTTGTTTGTCAGCCTTGGACGCCGGGACTTTGAACTCAAGATCTAGGCTGACATTCCTGTGCAGTGCTGAGGTTGTGCTGCTTTGTCGGAGGTAACATCCTTCGAGTAAGACGTTAAAGAGGTTCATTCAGCCTGTTCAGTTGGACATTAAAGATCCCATAGTGCTGTTCAAAACAATCGTCCCCAAATAAAATCTTAGCTGTTTGTGGGACATTTCTATGTGTAAATTGGCTGCAGTGTTTGCCAATAAAATACAGCCACTTTACAGCATATCTTGTGAATCACTTTGAGACTTGGTCCTGATGTGAAAGGCGTTTTATCAAATGGAAGGATTGTTAATAATAGTAGTATGCATTCAGTGGAGCAACATTCAGGGGTATTTTGTTTGGAATCCTATCCGTTCATTTTTTTTCAGAACAATTGGACAATTATGCAGCTTTTTAAGCAACATAATAATAATCCTTGCATTTGATATAGCACCTTATCACGTTGTTGAGATGTCTCAAAGCGCTTTACAGAATATGTTGTAAAATGGATTGACTGTATATTTTGTTGGCGGGTTGTGGCAGCCAATTGCGCACATGAATGTCCCGGAATGAGTGACGAAATAATTTTTTTAAAAAGAATTATTACCCCCGGAAAAGCGATCCAAAAATCGACTAACAATGGAATAAATGAAAAAAATTATCGAAAATCAATGACTTAGCAAATGCGGAGATGCGGAGTCCTGTAGCTCAGTGGTTAGAGCACTCGCCTCACAAGCATGAGGCCCTGGATTTGATTCCCAGGCAGGGCAAAACTTTAGGCGAGTTTCCTTACTCTACACGCTTCTGTTTACCTAGCAGTAAGTAGGAACCCAGTTGTTAGTCGATTGGCGGATTGCTTTTCCGGGGGTAAAAGTCCCTTAAAAAAATAATACTTTAAATAATAATTTGGTCACTCAATCCACGACTGTTTGTGGGACACAGCTGTGTGCAATTGGCTGCCGCATTTTGCCCCAAAAATATACAGTCAATTCACTTTACAGTATATTCTGTGATGTGCTTTGAAATGCCTTGAATACGCGATAAGGCGCTATATCAAATGCAAGGATTATTACAAATGTTATTTTCAGAAAACTTTTGTAGCTCTTGGGAGAGTATCTGGATGACATTTAGCCAGTAAAACAGGGCTTAGGAGAAGGCCTGTTTTCCAATACCTTTTTGATTGAATCATTGCTTTTCTTTTTCAACATACACCGTACATATACAAACTCACTTATCACTAAATCAGCTATTGTGGTCAAATTTTGTTGAATCAGTTGTGGAGGATCTTATGTTTAAGTCTTCATTTGGTAATTTGATAATTTGCAAATGTACAATGTGCCTGTTGAGAGGGATTCTATCTTAATAACTTTAACTCTGTCTTTCAGACATCAACTTGACATACTTCACTTTAGACAGACTGCACCAGCTTGCATTTAGTTAGTAAAATCTGTAAGAGGTCACAAACATAATTGTGTGTTTGTAAATCATAGTGAAAACATATATAGATGAAAAGAATTGGATAATTCCATAAACATGATTGTAGCCCTAACTGTGTATGAAGAAGCTTTTCATTTCAAAAGGAGTATAATAAAGTTTTTACAAAAAATTATCACAGTATCGTCGGTACAAACAGTAGGCAACTTTTCGCATGTCATGATCTTTACAGAAAGGCATCACTTCTGAGATCAATCTAACCATAACCTCAATGTAATTTGGATCTGGAAAAAGCTTGTCACCTTAACAGGGATCCATTTGGAATGTCAGCTATCCGTTAGGAGGTTGGACCTATGGCCTATGATTTAAAAAAAAGGCATGATCTTTCAGGACAGCAGTATTATAATAGCATTGGATAACATTTAAAACTTAAGCCATATACTTTTTTAAGGCGCTATATAAATGCAATTTATTGTTTTTGGATTTATACTTCAAAGTATAAAACAACACTTCTGCCTTAAGATTGGAGAAAAGCACTGATACGGTAGAAGCTTAAACTTTGGGATTTTCACCGGTAACGTTTTAAGCTGTAACTTCAATCTTTAAGAACTATAAATTTGGGGTGAGAAAATGTTTATTTTGACCAGCGAAGCTTGTTCCTTCACTACATTAAGTCACCCAACATGGCACTGAATTATATTTGGAATAGTCATGCTTTGTACATTACCTTGCTATATAGTTTATTCCAATCCTATATTGTTCTGAGTATTAAACAAAGGTTTTGTCCAGTTAAATTTGTTCTGCTGAAGTGTTGAATTTTCAAATTCAACACAATGTATTCCTATTGTGCAAGCGACCATCTCTTTACAAGTCAGATGCCAGCCAGCATGGTTGAAGCACTGTAATGTTGCTACCTTTATCAATGTTTTTTTTAAAATGGGCCATGTTAATCTAAGTTGATGCTGAGTACTTAAACAATTTGTATGCACATTGCTTGATTTTGATAGAAAACTATTTTTAGTTTCAGGAGGAGTCTTTGATCGATGATTTATTGCTCCAAGATGACGATGAGGAGGAAGATGATAATGAATCGCGCTCATGGCGGAGATGATCAAGAGGCAACCATTTACTTACAGAAAGTTATGCTGTTGGCATTCTGAATCTATAATGTGATTTTTTTAAACTGATGTACTAAAAACTGTAGTTAATCACCTGTATTAGTGCAGGTTAGTGTGTCAGCAATGGAGATAGGCCTCAGAATGTCCCTGTACCTGTAGAGAAGGACTGAAATGAAATTACGGCTTTAGTTGCAACAGGAGGCATGTATGTAATTCATTTTTATTAATTTTGTGAAACTTGATACTAATGTTTATTGAACTTTGGCCTAAAGGAAAGATGCTAAGGCTTTCTATGTAATTCACAGATTTGGTCCTTGTGATGTGACCAAACTAGGAACAATTCAATGTAACTGTTACAAATGGTTCCATGTTATTATGGGATGAAGGTTGACATTGAATTACTTATTGGATGTTTCAAAACTTCCTGGAGACATCTTAAGCTTTGTGATAAAGCAGAGAACTTGGGAAGTACTGAAAAGTGCTCTTGTTTGTTAAAAGTTATGTCCTACCTTATTTTGCATAGTTTGCTTTAGGCTTTACTATGTATTAGCCTTGATTTTTCTTCTGTTCGATTTGTGTACGTATTTTACGTAAGAGTTGATTTTAAACATTCATTGTAAAACAGCTCCTTGAAAGTTCTTTTTGACTTTCAAGACATGTTAAAAAAAATAAAGAAATGGAATGGTCTAATATATAAAAAACAAAAGAAAACCTTATGTAATATAAAGGAAAAAATTGGTTACATGTAAAAACAAAAAAAAAGACCATTCCCAACACACCAACAAAACTCATGAAAGAGCTATAACCAGCCCTATATTTCTTGTAAGAAAACAAGTTTATTTTGCAGCACAAAGGTACAAGTAAGTATCATTCTACCTCTTAATACAGGAATTTGTATTGATTGTTTTTAGATATAATCCTGATAATTTGTCTTTAGTCCCTTCAGGCTCGCAGCAAACCGTTTGATGATAATGTTTTTATTCCTCACTTTGTGAAACTGACACAAAATACCAAAAGTTATTTTTAAAATCGAAACTACTTGAAATGTTTTTGTTTAAATTCATTGTTTTCCGAATGTTAGAGGGGTGTGCTCTGTGGAGTGACTAGATAAGGTAGGGCTGTTTGCCTTGAGAAAAAGTCAAGCAGTCTCAGATGGGATCTTTTGAATAAATATGATACTAAATGGTACTAAGAAATTAGACTAAGAATTAGAAATTCAAAAGTATTTGAACAAGCACCAAGGTTCTATTGACGATAATGAAGGGCAGATTAAATATCAGGAAATATTTATTTGTGCATAGGGTAATTAACAGCTGAAGTGGTAAGTGCTTGATATTGTAATGGGTGATGGAAGGGAAGGAATCCTAGAAGGCAGTTATAAAATGACAAAAGATAGCCAATATGGGTTTATGAAGGGGAAACTAATTTACTGGTTTTCTTTGACACTGAAAAGGAGTGTGATAAGGTAAGCCAGTGGATGTTGTATATCTGGATTTCAGTAAGGGCTTTGATACAGTTCCTCATGAAACACTGGTACTGAAAATAGAGAAAGCAGGAATTGGGGCACCATATCTTGCAATGGATACTTAATTGGCTGACTGAAGAACCCAGAAGGTGGTGGTACAGGGAATGTCATCAGGTTGGGAGAATGATACCAGTGGAGTTCCACAGGCGTCTGTTTTGGGACCTCTTATTTAACATCTTCAAAAACGACCTGGAGCTAGGAGTCACAAGCACAATGGCTAAATGTGTAGATGACACAAAGTTAATGAAGGTGGTAAACTGCAGAGATTAACAGGATAGATTACAGGAGGACTTGAACAATCTTAAGAATTGGGCAGATCGATGGCAGATGAAATGTAATGTAAAGAAATGCAAAGTACTTCACATGGGGACAAAAAATCCAGCAAGGGATTATTATTTAAATGGTAAGAAAATAATCTGTATGGAAAATGAAAGGAACCTGGGGATCCTGATTGATAGTAAAATAAAGCTATCGCAACAGTGCCCGGCAGCAGCGAGTAAAGCAAACCAGATTCTGGGCTGCATTAAAAGTACTGTTAAGTATGGACAAAAAGCTCAACAAAGGAAATATAGCATTAAGGAGTAGGGGAAATAGAAGTCAAAATTAAAGGCACTATATCTGAATGCACAAAGAATTTGTAACGAGATAGACAAATTAAGTGCACAAATAGACATAAATAGGTACGATCTAGTGGCTATTACTGAGACGTGGTTACAGGAAGACCAAGGGTGGGAGCTAAACATTCTGGGGTATTCGACATAGGAAAGATAGGCAATGTTGGAAACGAGGTGGGGAGATAGCCCTGCTAATAAAAGATTAGATAAAAACAGTGAAGCGAAAGGATTTTAAATCAGAAAATCAGGACGTAGAGTCAATATGGGTGGAGGTAGGAAACACCAAGGGACAGAAAACACTAGTGGGAGTAGTTTATAGACCCCCAAACAACAGTTACAGTATTGGGCAGGGTATTAATCAGGAAATTAGAGGAGCATGTAGCAAGGGGTGATTTCAATCTTCATATAGACTGGGAAAACCAAATTGGCAAAAGTAAATTAGAGGATGAGATTATAGAATGCATTAGAGATAGTTTTCTGGAACAATATGTTGAGGAACCAACCAGGGAACAGGCAATCCTAGATCTTGTTTTGTGTAATGAAATAGAGCTAATCAGCAATCTGGAAGTTAAGGCTCCTCTCGGGCAGAGTGACCATAACATGATGGAATTTAATATTAAGTTAGAAAGTGATATAGTTGAATCTGAAGCAAGGGTCTTAAATCTAAATAAAATCAACTTTGCAGGTATGAGAGAAGATTTGGCTAAAATAGACTGGGAAATTAGATTAAAAAATATGATGTTAGACCAGCAATGGCAAACATTTAAAGATATAATACATAATTCCCAGCGATCACATATTCCCTTGAAAAATAAAAATACCACGGGAAAAGTGGTTCAACCTTGGCTAACTAGAGAAGTTAGGGAAAGTATAAAAGTAAAAGAAGAGGCCTATAATACTGCCAAAAAGCTGTAAAACAGAGGACTGAGAGGGCTTTAGAGATCAGCAAAGGAAAACCAAGAAACTGATTAAGAGGGAAAAAATGGAATATGATGGTAAACGAGCTAGGAACATAAAGCCAGATTGTAAGAGTTTTTACAAGTACATAAAGAGGAAGAGACTATCAAAGGTGAATGTGGGTCCATTGCAGGCAGAGACAGGAGAAATTATAATGGGGAATAAAGAAATGGCAGAGTCATTAAACAATTATTTTGCTTCAGTCTTCACATTAGAGGACGCTGAAAACTTACCGAAAATAGAGGGGAACCTGGAAGCTAATGTTAGTGAGGAACTCAAAGAAATGAACATCAGTAAAGCAATAGTACTAGAGAAATTGAAAGGATTAAAAACAGATAAATCCCCTGGACCTGATGGCCTGCAGCCTAGGGTTTTAACAGAGGTGGCTGCAGAGATAGTGGATGCTTTGTTTTTGATCTTCCTAAATTCCCTGGATTCTGGAATGGTTCCCAGTGATTGGAAGGTCGCAAACCTAACGCCGATACTTAAGAAGGGTGGGAGACAAAAAATGGGCTACTATAAACCAGTTAGTCTGACATCAGTGGTAGGGAAAATTCTAGAGTCCTTAATTAGGGATGTCATTGTGGGGTACTTAGAAAATCATAACATGATTAGGCAGAGTCACATGGCTTTACGAAAGAAAAATCATGTTTAACAAGTCAAAGTTTTTTGAGGATGTAACTAGCAGGTTAGATAGGGGGAACCAGTAGATGTGGTGTATTTGGATTTCCAGAAGGTATTCAATAAGGTGCCACATAAAAGACTGTTGCATAAGATTAGAGCCCATAGAATTAAAGGCAATATATTAGCATGGATTGGAGAGTAGCTAACAGGAAGAAAACAGAGAGTAGGGATAAACAGGTCCTGCTCAGATTGGCAGGAAATGACTAGTGGAGTGCCACAAGGATCGGTGCTTGGGCCTCAATTATTTACAGTCTATATCAATGATTTAGATGAGGAAATAGAACTTAATATATATAACTTCGGGGACACTACGAAGATAGGTGGGAGAATAAGCTGTGAGGATGACACAAAGAATGCAAAGGGAAATAGACAGATTAGGTGAGTGGGTAAGAAGGTGGCAGATGGAGTATAATGTGGGGAAGTGTGAAGTTATTCACCTTGGTAGTAAAAATAGAAAAGCAGATTATTTTCTAGAAACTAGGTAGTGCTAGTGTTCAGAGGGATTTGGGTGTCCTTGTACACCAGTCACAAAAAGTTAGTATGCAGGTACAGCAAGCAACTAGGAAGGCTAATGCCATGTTGGTGTTCGTTGCAAAAGGGTTAGAGTACAAGAGTAGGGAAGTCTTGTTACAGTTGTATAAGGCCTTGGTGAGACCGCACCTAGAATATTGTGCAGTTTTGGTCTCCTTATTTAAGAAAGGACATACTTTCCTTTGAGGGAGTGCAGCATAGATTCACGAGGTTAGTTCCTGGGATGACGGGGTTGACCTATGAGGATAGGTTGAGTAAACTAGGCTTATATTCTCTAGAATATAAAAGAATTAGAGGTGATATTATAGAAACCTATAAGATTCTTAAGGGTCTTGCCAGGATAGATCCGTGAGACTTTCCCCTGGTTGGAGAATTTAAAACTAGGGATCATAGACTCAAGATTAAGGGTCAGCCTTTTCGAACTGATTTGAGGAAACATTTCTTCACTCAGAGGGTAGTGAATTTGTGGAATTCTCTACCCCAGAAGGCTGTGGTGCTCAATCCTTGAACATATTCAAGACTGAGGTTGATAGATTTCTGAAGGATAGAGGGATTAAGGGATATGGGGATAGGGCGGGTAAATGGAATTAGGTTTGAGGATCAGCCATGATCTTATTAAATGGCGGGGCAGGCTCGAGGGGCCGAATGTCCTGCTCCTACGTTTTATGGTCTTGAAAGGGCAATATTGAGCCAGAATAGTGAGGTAATCCTGCCACTTTACAAATCACTGGTACGATGGCACTTGGAATACTGTGTGCAGTTCTGGTCACTGCAATATAAAAAGGATATTGCAGCGATTGAGAGGATACAGAGGGGCAACCAAAATAATTGAGGCGATGGAGGGACTGGACTATAAGGAGTATTTAGATAAACTGGGCATGTTCACACTGGAGAAGGGAAGGTTGAGCGAAATGATTATGGTCTTTAAGATTCTGAAGGGAATGGATAATGTAGACTGACGAGCTGTTTTATCTCGTACTGAACGAGAGAACCAGAGGTCACAGCCTACGACTGAAGGTGGGTAAATTCAGAACAAATCTGCGGAAACACTACTTCAGTGAGAGAGTAGTAAACTTATGGAATAGGCTCCCTAGGGAGACAGTGGAAGCAGAAAATGTCATTTGTTTCAAGAATAAATTAAGATAGATTTCTGCTAGAAAGTAATATCTCAGGATACAGTGTATAGTTTGGGACACAACATGTCAAGCGACTGCCAGGATGGTGGAAGACAAACTAGATGGACCTCGGTCTTCTTTCGCCTAGCAAATTCTTATGTTAGTTTGAGATAAAATGAGCAGAAAGGCCTTCTCATCTGTACTTCTTTTGTGATCCCGTGATTTTAAAATGTTTTTTTAAAAATGCTTTAACTTTACAGTTCCCTTCCACAACTACTCTTAATACTGCTTCTAAACTAAGGTGAGTATGAATCGTCTAGGGACATACTAATCACTCTTATATTTAATAGAATGTATCATGGTCACCTTTGCAGTGCAGTAAATGTTTACATGAGTCTTGGAATAATAATTCATTGTTTATTTTCATCTTCTTTCAAAGTACTACAGTAAAATTTACATAAATCATATCAGTTGGGACCATACATGCAGTCCGAGATACAGGCAAACTATAAATCGTAGAAAGTCCGATTTAATCAATAATCTACACTGCATGCAAAATTCAATGCAGCCGATAAGCGCGTAAGCAGAACTTCGTACTGCAACTGGTAAGTGTGCATGTGTTGGTGGGTCAAGATGATGTTTCCTGCAATTCAATGGTTCTTGACCCATCTCCTTATGTGCACTTACCGGCAAGCATTGAAATTATTAATTTGCGGGAAATGAAATTCTTACGCGCAAACAGCAACACGTCAAGATGCCATTTCTCGTGATTCAATGTGAATTGGCAAGTGCGGGAGTAATGGAACTTTGGGGAGCGTTGAGTTAGGAGATGATTTGTTTGTAAAATATGACTAGTGCAAAGTAATCTTAAGTGGTTTTGACAGGAAACTGAATGGGACTCAGGTGCATGTTCGACTTAAGCGATTTTACAATTTATAAAGATACTTATGCAAATTTTACTGTATTTTACCAAGGGAGAAGAATATTTAAGCAACTGAATATCACTTTTTTAAGGTGCCCTTAACATTGATACTTTTAGTAAAATGAATGAATGGTGACTGGGATGTGCATTATTCAGATTTTATGGATGAAAAACTACTGACTAGTAAGAAGTCTTGACTATTTTTGAATCAGCAGTTTGGGTTTCTAATGTTCTCTGCAGTATTTTCTTGTTGCATAGGTTGCTCCCCAAAACAACATTTGTGTTTTAGATTAATTCAATTATTTATGTTTCAGATATTGTCTACAACAATACGAATGTTCCACAACTGAATCATCCTTGGACACTATTAAAATCAATGCCTGTTAATGCCAAATTGTTTTGTTTCTTAATCACAATTACTGGGAAAACCTATGAAATGCTCATTTGACTCGCAACCTTTTCAGAGAAGCTTCACATCTGGGATTGATTTAAAAATTAGGCCCACGTTGAAAGAAAGGCAGTGTATT